ATCCAGTCTGGATCAATTCCTGCCTCATTGTCACCAAAGAAATCGATTGAGCCAAAGGAGGGGGGACGCCTATCCAAGAGTTTTGGCCTAGAACTGCCACAGACTGGGTTTGCAGAGCTCATTCCGTGGAATACAGCCTTAATTGTCTGGGTGTGTACAGTTTGCTGTTGGAATAGGACAGAGAAGAAGACCCAACAACTGTTGCTCATCCAAGTGATACCGCAAGAGAAGAAGTAATTGGAGGCGAATATGGCAGGCAATCTTGCAGCCATGAACAACTATCTACAGAATACCATCGGTATTGCCGAATTAGCCACGAGGACAGCATTGAATGATCAAGGATTGGATGCCTTCGTCTCACTCGATACCTTTACCGATGCTGATATAAAGAGCATCTGCGAGAACGTGGGGAAACCAGGTTGTACCATTCCAATCCAGCAATTGCGGCTGCAGCCACTGCGAAGCTGCCGCAGCAGTTCACCCAGAGAAGTTCCCAACCGTAGACGACAGCTGGGATTTGTTCTTTGAGAAGCAGACTCAGACAACTACGGTTTACAAGTTTCACATGACACGAATCCAGCGTGAGTTCACTCCCAACCAAGCCAGTTTGCGAGATTGAATAGAGTTTGGGCTTTATACGAGTCCGAACGAGAAGAGATTGATGTTGCGGATCCTTCCCAACTCTTGAAGGTCGAAGATGTCCGACGAGTTCTGGAGTCTATTGACAATGTTCTGAATGTCAGCGAGGCGTTTGCGGTTCCCCTCTGGCTTATGTTACGAATCCAAAGTCACTTTGCCAGGAGCACTTGATACCGACACCGCAGAGAGGCTGACCCAGGTTTTCGGGCCTTTCCCAGGGATCAATATTCCAAGTCCAAACCTCTGCTTCCCACTTGGAAGTCTCTATCTCTCGCTCCACTTGAGAGAGCCCCTTCTTCTTGAGAGGTCTTCTGTTGCTATGCCGCTTGGAGGTCTTTCTTCTCTTCTTCTCTTGTTCCTCTGCCAATCGTTGGCAATGAGGGTCTCTTCTTCTTCTCGTCGTGTTCGAACGGTAGCTCCGAATCGGTAGCTTCGAATCGGCGACAATGGCGCTGCTTCGAATGAACGAACGACTCCTTCTTCTTCTTCTTGTCGCTCGCAACGATCGGTCTTCTTCTTATCTCTTCTTCTTCTCTCTTCTCGATCACGACAAACGAACGACAATGGGCGTCGAACGGTAGTTGCTTCGAACGGCCGAAAGGTAGCTTCGACAATGGCGTCGAACGAACGAACGAACGAACGGTAGCTCTTCTTCGCGAACGAACGGCGCTGCTACCGGTCTTCCTCTTCTTGTGCTTGTCGAACGACCGATCGCTTGCTTGTTCTTCTATCTATCGTAGTAGCTTCCACGCCTGATAAGCCGAAAAAGGCTGATGGTGTTGATAAAGAGGTTGCTATAGTGTTGTGTGTGTTACTACTTCCGGCTTTTAAAAGCCGGCAAAAGCACGACTGAAGCACGTCGCGATGTCGCGATCTTATTTTTGTCTCTCGAAATACCCACTTATAGTATTTTAAATTTGTTTTTCTTTTTCTTTGACCTCTCTTGAAGACTCAGGCGCAATGAGAGTAGCTCCTGTTGACATCGCTGGCTTGGCCAAGCTGATTTTGAGCCCTGAATGCAAGTCAATTGCTGTGCTGACGGGAGCTGGAGTATCTGTGGCTTCAGGCATCCCGGACTTTCGATCCCCTGGTGGCATGTACGATACTCTTTGTCCCGACTTGATCACTGCCACACCGGCCCAGCGCAATGCCATGAAGCACGAACCCATGGCAGTGGTTACCTGGGAAATGTTTGAACAAAATTCTTTCCCTTACATGGAGGTCCGACGCCCGTTCATTTTGGGAACAAAAAATCATCAGTGGAAGGCGACAATTGCACACAGATTCTTTGAACTGCTTCATGTCAAGACGAACAAACTCACGCGGATTTTTACACAAAACATTGACGGGTTAGATCATCAATGCAAGAAGATTCCAACCGAGAAAATTGTGAATGTGCATGGTTCCATCTCGAGTGCATCCTGCGAAGGTTGCGGCACTAAAATGGATTTTGTCAAGTTTTGCGAGGCTGTGGAGACCAACATCAAAGATATTTACAACCCAGAGTCTGGACCCAAAGAATCTACTCCCATTCTCTGCGGCAACTGCAAGAAGCCCCTTGTGAAACCGACAACGGTTCTGTTTGGAAGGAGCTTACCCTCACAATTCTTTGAACGAGTCCAAGAAGATCTACCCAATCTGGATTTGCTGATTGTGGCCGGCACCTCGCTTGTTGTGTCACCAGCAAACAGCTTGTGTTATAGTGTCCCACAGTCAACCGTTAGGGTGATTGTGAACCAAGAACCGGTGGGAGAAGAGTTGGGCATTGATTATAGTCCAGAAAGCACTCATGATTTCTTTGCTCAAGGCAAGTGTGACGACGTCTTCCTGGAATTGATCATTGCGCTGGGTTGGCTGGATGACCTAAACGTGAAAGATTTGCCGCCCTCAAGCGCCAAGCTGGTACAAGAGAATACAGCCAACTAGCGAGGAGCGAGGAGAGGAAGCAAACTCAGGAAACACAAAAGGCAAGTTTAATAAAAAAGAGTTAAAAGAGTCCATCAGTCATCGTCCTCGTCTTCGTCAAATGGTTGCAAGTTGTAAAGTTGTGCGTCTTGTCCGAGTTCGATCAACTCTCCCGATTCTAAGTCCAATTCAAAGACTGCAAAAGCCGCAGACCCTGAAAGACCAACCTTCCCTAAACAGCACAAATCCGTCGTCTTTTTGGATGGTTTCCCGCTGGGTGTCTTGTGCTTTATCTCACGACGGAAACCGCGATGCATGTGGCCACAACAATGAACCTTTGGTTTCAGCCCGTCTGTCACTTCCCTGCAAACCTCGTTTCCAGCGGGGCGAGATCTCTTCCCAACAACTTTGATTTCTCGTTCATCAACGATTCCAGCAGGCCAATCGTGCGTCAAGAGAATGTCACAGGCGCGCTTTCTCTTCAATCTGTTCTCCATCATGTTCGTGACATCTGCCACCGAGCGGCCCTTCATCAGGACACGAGAAATGGCATCAAGAGAACGAGGGAGACTCTGGGCCGCGGTGCGTCGGTTCTCTGCAGTTTCCTCGGCGCTGGCGGCAGGAGCGATCAAAAATCTTGTCAGGTATTCTACATCGGCTGAAGAAAGCAGGACATCGCTGTCGAGGTGCTGGTCGTCTCTTAGATTCACACCCAAGAGCCTCGCCAGGACAGCCACCAACCGCCGACGCATCTCTTTGCGGGATGTGGGGGGTTCGTTCTCCCGCTCCTCCAGGCAGCTCTCCCTTGCATGGTCAATCCCATCGTCGTTTTCATCTTCTAGCAACAGCTGTGTATCGTAGACGTTGAACCCGATCCATCGTTTGTTGCTCTCATTTGCGAGATTGTTTTCAGTCATGGCGGGCCGTCTGTGATAGTAGTCCGCCGGGCGGTGGATACCAGAAAGAAAACCCAAATTGAGAATTCCGTCAACATCGAGAGGATGCTCATCCGTATCTTCTGTGGCTTCCTTGGCTGGCTTTTCGAAGAACCGAATTGGCAGATAACCGGCTCTCCCGAGATAAAACACATTGGGAGCAACCTCCAGGAACCCCTTCATCAAGTTCGTGCCATCTGCCGCGAAATGACTTTCGTTATCCAACCACCCATAACATTCATGATTACCCCCAATAAAGTACATTGGGTGTCTCATGTAGAAATCGTCATCTTGGCACGCTTTCCAAAAGTCCCCCAGCGTCCTCTTCTTTGCGGGTGCTGCCATGGATCTCAAGTCGTCGTCATTGCGATGACATTCGAGGTCTCCTACCTGCAGGACGAAATCAAGGGAAAAGTCGTTCTTTTCGCATATGGCTTCCAATTTCCGCGCCAGGAGCGAGAACTGGCCGTGAACGTCGCCTACGACGGCAAACCGAGCCTTTCTCTCCGATGAGATTGGGACGTAGCCGAGTTGCGCCAAACGACGTTGCCTTTCGCCTCCTACCGTCGTTCTTTCGCCTTGGCCTTTGCCCAGCGGTCGGCGGAGGTCCACTGTTATCCTGGAATGGTCCATTGTCTTTGTTCTTCTGATGTTGTTGAATACTATTACGCCAGGTGGCTTGGGTTTACCACATCTCCAAAAAGCAGGTTTGGAAACACAGATCCACGTCTGACTTTACCATACTCTTCGCACGACTTGAAGATTTAAACCTCAACTGATGAAAGATTGATCATTTCAAAAACTATAAATATCTCCAAACAAACCCGAGGGCCAGCTGGTACCAGTACCCTTGCCCAACTCCAGGTCCATCTCCAGGACGATTCTATTGACCAACTCCAAGGCCTACCGTTACCCCTTGATCCCATCCAAGGGCCAACACCAGGCCTGGAAACCTGGATGGATTCCAGGACCAATGCGGGAACCAACTCGAGGACCAATGCTCGGACCAACCCTCCCCCGTGATCGACCAAAGGCCAGACCTTCACAAGGACCTAACCCATCGTCGATCTCCACGCCCCAATCTTGGTCCCACAATTTGCCTTCCACCAGGATTGTTGCCTACAGCAGGCCACCCAACCTTGGAAATCTACTCTCCCACCGCAAACTAGATGACCAAACTGAGGCCCCAGCCTCCTCCTCCTACCAGCCCGAGTAGAGGTATTGGGGCCCCGGTTGGAGCCGGGAGCCACCCAAGGTTGCAACCTAGAACCTATTGAAATTCCAGTGCCTAGCTTTTTTAGTCCCTAATGGCCAGGGACTCCCCTGCTGCTTGCCACTGATGAAGCACCTCCCGAAACTCAAACTTTGATCCTTCCTGAGTTTGGATCTCAAGCAGCACTGCTTTCAGTAGAGACTAATGCTGTAGTCCCCAAGACTATTAATTCTTGTAGACCTACTAGTGTCGAGTGAACGGTGTTCACGGCTTAGCCGCTCACGCTGTGTGTGTACCCCCCCCCTGCATGGGGAACCACCCATACCATCTCCAGGGGTGCTGGAGGCCCAGGGGTGCTGTTGTCCCGCACCGGTACCTGGTACCTACACCAGGCTCAACGCCAGGTCCCAGCCATGGTGGATATCCAGGCACCACAACTAGACCAACACCAGGCCTCACACCGACCAGCTCCAAGACAAATGCCCAGTACCATAGCAATAGAATAGAGTGGACGCAAGGGAGTGACCCAAGCAACCTTCTTGCAGCTCCCAAAGCTGTCAGAAGTCTATGATGAGGATGTTTTGAGGGTCTGTGATTTCATTTCTGTCATCGACAATTTCTTTTTGAAGAAGGAGTTCATTAAGTCGGTGCCTTTCAATGGATCTCTACAATCAGTGATTGACTCTCTCGGCGGCACTGGTGGAGAGGCAAGTATTTCGAAACAAGCCCCTACACTATCATTGACAAGCATTTCAGTCGCCCTCTGCCAACCCATGGTGGGTGCAGTTGCCCTCTGCCAACCATTGGCAGCCAGTCAAACCAGGCTTCTTTTTGTCAGTCTTGTCGCTTTGTATCCATTGGTGCTTCAAAAGGAATTCGGTGCAGCGTTTTGAATGAAATTAATGATGTCAACAACAAACCAGCGGATAGGAAAGAGGACAAGGAGGAAAGGCCCAAACCAGATGTTCTTTTGCCTGTCAATGCTCTAACTTGCCAAAGAGATTGCTCGTGAATCGTTTCTGCTATCCACGGCAAGACAGGTGGGCACAGCACGACAGTGCCCACCAAATTCGACGTTACCGCAGTGCTGGGCATCCCAGCTCGAAGTCACTCCGCACCTTTTGAGCCTTCTCTATCGGTGTGATTAACTATTGCGTTTCCTGTCAAGTATGCATAAAAGCTGTCTATATATACTGCTTGTGTACAAAGCGATTTACTCGTAGCATGGGTTTGACCAAACGCTGGTCCACACGTGACCTAGTCTTTCCACCGTCGACAGGGCGACACAACCAATACATGCCGCTCTAGTTCTTCTCGGCCGTCACTTCTTCTGGCCAAACCATCTTGACACGAAGGTTGTCCATGGCTTGGAAGTGACGATGCGGGTTTTCAAGGTAGTCACCCACTTCATAGTACCAAGCTCGCTTTTCCTGGGTCTTGTCAGGGTTTAGGACCTCTGCTGTCGGTGCTCCCCTCATGACAGTATCTCGGGCAGCAACAGGCTCAACTCCCAACAACTCCGATACCTTGGTACTGGCCAAGAATCCACGGAATGGGTCGGTGGGGGCACGACCGGCCGCATTATCCTCGTCCTTGAAGCAACCATTACGGATGCTGCAAAAGTTATCGGGGTTCATTCCAGCGTCCTTGGCGATCTTGTAGACCTTCTTCATGGACACAGGATCCAGTTCACGAGAACGGCTGTAGATGAAAGCACCCTCGTAGGTGTTCTGACGGGTCTTGCCGTTGTAGTAGACGAACTTAAACTCGGGTTCACTAGGGTCATTCTCTCCAATCACATACCAGTTCTCCCAGAATTCTGGACACAAAGAAGGACAACAATCGAATGTTAGGGCACAATTGACTGAAGAAGGAACAAGCCAAAACCAAGCAGCAGCAAACCTAGTAGCACTTACTGAGTCCAAACATTTCACCTTCCGAGTGCGCCGTTCTGGAGTAGCCAACTCCTTTCTTGGACACAAAGTTGTCGATGGGGTTGGGGTTCTTGTCGAAGACCATGGTTTCGTGTGTGCTGTAGGCATTCATGCCAATCGACATGGATCCCAACATTTCACCATCCGCCTCGTTCATCTGGATGGTCTCGCGGACGTTCTTGGGTGGTAATGGGGAACCATCGGGGAGAAGGTGAGGCATGGAGAACTCCACGTCCATCTGCAGCTTGTTCGAGGAAGTGAACATGTTATCACCGTCCACGGGCGAGAAGGTGTTGCGCTGGCAAGCGTAGCAATCGTAGTTGGGATTGTAACCCACGACCTTGTACCAGGAACCTTCGAGCGATTTCGTGTTGAAGTTGGGGATAGTGGGGGCTGGTGATCGAGGAGCCTCATTGAACTTGTCTGCTCCTCCTGGCAGGATGGCGATCTTGATGCATTCATTGTCTTCAATGGTACATTTCAGCAGATTGTCAAGATTGCGGTCACCATACCGGGCCATGCAGCCAGTGATACACGCATTATCTCCCAGACATTTTGCTGTGCAAGTTAGACCTTTCCGGCACGATGGATCATCTGCCAAGCACGCCTTAGCTTGCACTGAACATTTGTCCACCAAACAGGTCTGGTCTACTAATGAGGAATCAAAGCCTCCCCCGTACTTATCGGACAACTCATTCTCGGCAAACGCTGGGGATGAGAACGCCAGAGACGCGGACAGTAAGGCACCTGCTAAGACTCCCGTCAGGACGGCCTTGCCTTGGCCTAGGATGCCACCCTTCGCAGCTTCCAGTTGTACAGACGAAGCTGGCCGTTGCACTATGTGGTTACTAGTCTCCATGGGGGAGATGGGGCGTGCTACAGAAGCTCTTGATATTGAGCTTGGAGTGAACGCATTTCCGGGCAGAGCTACGCTGGTGAGCAGCAAAGCCGATGCGGCTACTCGCTTCTTGCTAATGTATCCCATTTTCATTGAATATGATATCGGAGGGTTCTGCTGGATGAGCTTCCTGGAAATGGAAGACACAAACAGCTTTCCCGATCGGTTTCGAGACTCGCAGAGGCACTTGTTGCTTGCCACGTCTTGCTTGTTTTTGTTGAATTGGATTCCAAAATGGGCTGGGCGCAAAGTTGAACCGGCTGCATCCAAAGATACAGCCAGCTTGAGTCCCGTTCTCGGCTGATTTTGGAAACACGGTTTGTAAGCTTTTTATTCGACGTTAACTCTTTCTCCCGGACAAATCTAATGTTGTTGAAGAAACAAACAATTTGGATGGACAACCCAATAAGAAGCAAGAAGGAAAATTACGGACACAGCTGTCCGGGAATGACGCGACATCGGACAAGGCAACGTGGCGAAAAGAGGAACGAGACACGATGAGCCGATCTATTATGTATGCATAGTGGAACTTCTAGATCTAGAAACAGATCTGCAATGCTTTGAAACCGGTGCGCAAAGGGCTATTGTTTACTCAAGTACTAGTACACTTGAACGCTGGTTGATGGCTGTTTGTTCCAAACGGTCTGCCAGGAAAGATCCATCCTCAACTCCTCTCGACTGCTGTACAGGACCTGGCCAGCTAGCTACTAGAAGCAAGCAACACGCTACATGTAGATGGTGCTCGTACCTTACCAGCCAGCCAGGTAGTAGGCTGGCTGGACTTCAGCTTGGACTTGTATGGACAGTTGCTTGGCCATCTGGTCCTGTATGCGCGCCAGAGAGACAGCTCTGGTATTGAGAAGTGCTCTTGCGGGCACTGCAGAAGGCACTCTTCCGTACCGGCACGGCGGCCCTTGGAGGGCCGTGGCGGCAGTCCCATCGGACGTGATGATGACAACTCAGTTGCATGCTGCCCATCCTGCATCCAAGGCAAGAAGCAAGCATGTTAAAACAGTATCCCTAACTAGATTATCAAGGGTTACAGCCATTGAAACTTGGTGGAGCACAATTGACAATGAAACACTAAGAGTAAACGAACGCGTATGCAGCCATGCCGTACTTCACACAGACAATAGGTCGTGCGTTACATGCTCTTGAATGTAAAAGCACCAGTCCACCTCCTTGGGAGCGTTCCTCTGCTAATAGAACACTCATTGGTGGCTTTAGCTAGGTGCATTGGCGATATGGGGTGCCGTACAACTGTTCTGGACGGTCGCCCCTTCCTAAAAAGATCGACGCAGAAAAGCAAGATCTCGGTTCGTCAAAAATGTGAGAGGGGTGACTCTTTCGAGCTCGCTCGGTGACTCTGGCATCTTTGATTTAAGTATCTTTCGCCACCATAATGGCTTTAGATAAACCTAAGCTAATAATGTAGCTTGCGACACAAATCGAGGCGACCTTCAGTCATAAAAAAGATGCTCTCACGTTTTGTTGATTTTTGGTGTTTCAGCGATCACATCAAAAACAGGGAAAGCGTTGGAGTCTCCATCAAAACCTACAATCGCTGATCCGACTGCCTTGGAGCAACGCTGCAACCCAATGCGTAAGGTTGCAGGAGATCAGAAGAATTGTCCATCAAAAAAAGGCTGAAAAACAGACGAAACAATGAGATTATTCGGTCGACGGGGCCGATCACGGTCAGTTGATAGGTCCAGGAAGAGTAAGAATGACAACAGGCAACCACCATACCATGACCAGCAGTCCACGGGGTACTTGAGTGACAAAAGGAGCCACACTGCAGGAGTTCCTGAAGATGATTCCGTGGGATCCGAATTGCCAACGCTGGATCAATTCGAGATTGCTGTCCCATCCAGGTCATTTGCCAATTCCTCAGGGGGCGAACGTGAGTTTGCTCCAGAGGCAAGAGAAGAAATGGACAATCGATCAACCACAGACATTTCCTCTATAACCTCAGTAAGCTACAGAGCAGGATATTACTACTTACGAAACATAAAGAAGAAACCCCCTGTGAAAAAGGCAAATCAAACCTGGTGTGGATGTCTACCCAATTGCTCATGTGCATCTTGTATGCCGTGCAGCTGTTCTTGGCTGACATGCTGCTGCTGTGCCGAAGCAAAATCAGAGCTTGCTCAGCAGCATGCCAATGCCAAACATCATCCGATGCTGGGGAGTCCGCCAACATCACGCGATAAGCTACGGAAATCTCACAATCCTGGACGGAGAACAATGGGCCCTCCAGGGATTAATAACCAGAATCGAGGTCGTGGACCTACTCACGGCTACATGCAGCACGGAGGATTCGCTGCTGCTATCCATCGAACCCCATCTTCTAGCCGGAGATATGGCATAGACAGTGCTCGGGACAGTATGCCACGAGAAGACGCTTACCCGTCTCTGAACAACAACCATTCACTGTTCGATGAGCTTTCAGAGGAAGACGAGTTTGGAGGACATCGAGGTAGACAAAAACGGCAGCAATACAATCAAAAGAAGAATGGTACTAACAAGGCATGGCTACCAAGAGGACGCGCTGGTGGTGCCCACGGCGGCGGTGGCGGTATGTCACCTGAATACTATGCCCCACGAGAAAAGTCAAATCGAAGTAGGTCCAGAGGACGACGTGGAGAAAGATACTAACTAGAAGAAGCAAGGTCTGGCAGTAGAGAGGGGCACTCGTCAGCCATAACAAAAAGATAGACCAATCCATGGCTTCGCAGGAACAGAATCCTTGCGTTTCTTGTACAGTTGCTAGTTGATTGTGCTCGCCAATCATACTCTTTGGTTCGAAGCCTTGATTCTATGTACCGGTACATGTACAACACAAGGGGATACTTGATCCCCCAAGACAGAACGGTGCCCTATCCTATACCTGTTTGCAAACTTACTTTTGCCACTTACTTTTGCCATGACACACTATTGTAATGTACACTATTTTATTTTGCCCCAGTGTTGCTCAAACAAACAACAAAAGTCCTCCTTGTTGTTGCTACCCAAACCAACCTAAAAAGTTGTTTGGTCAATCGACACGACAGATCCATGTTCCCAACGTGTCTTGCTCATCATAAACCTATAATAAATAAGCCTTAGACCCACACCAGCTTAAAATATCCAGTACTGTACCGTAGATCCCATGTACCGTACCGTACGATAGATCCCATGAGGTGAGCATTGTTGATTTGTCTCGCCAGACAAAGTGTGTGGGTAATAAGGCCGTGTCCCAACAAGCTACGGTACCTGGTACCGGTACCAGTTATTGGAGGCTTTCAAGCACCGTCGGGCTCTACCGGTACAGGTATAAAGTCGGTTTTGGTCCATCGCTTTGAGACATCAGCGGTACTATAGCAAAAACAGTACAATATCGGAAACCTTCTGTCTCACTCTCTATTTTCTGAGTTAACGGGACTCAATAATGGACCAAAATATTTAACTATCTCACAAAAAAGTATAGCGAAAATGAAATACACGTTTTTAAAACATAGGGTATGTGATGTTAAATCATGTGGTCAGTATGGGAAACATGCTATGAGTCAATGGTACTTGAGGTCGATTTCGTATTAATCTACTTATTGGTCAATCGGACATTGAGACAGTCATTTGCTTATAGACGGTTTTGGTCCATTTTTGGGCTGTAGCGCTGGTACACTTTCTACGTGTCTCACCCACTTCCTTTATTAAACTCGTACGCAACTCGTGCTGGCTTCAACTCTCATCACCTCGGACGCGGATCGAAGCCAATCGAAAAGCGCCTCATCCATTCATTCTTTCTCCCTTCTTGCTTCATTATTTCTGTGGTAGCTTTGCTTTTCCACTGTAATATTGCAACCTCCGTGTTTATACTTTTAGGTAGCTACTGTATTCATAGTAGTTGTGACAATGGCAAAGCAGGACAAGAAGGATGAAGCCGGCGGCAAGCCTGGCAGAGAAGAATTTGACGATTTGATGAACAAGATGTCTGATGTCAAGAAGAAGTGGGACGAGGAGAAGGATTCGGATGATGAAGACGATGAGACGGGCCATCTCCTGACCCAAGCGATTGACATGGCCCTTGAGCAGGGCAGAGGATGGTCAGCTGGTGAGAAGGAAGCATATCTGGAGAAACTTTTGGATGACGATTTTGTAAGATTTTACGATCATGCACTGTGATTGGTGCCTCTCCCGAAATTGCTCAAATGGATCTTGTTTTCTGTATCGCTATGTTCTTCCTCCAGATCCCTCCCATATTTGCAGAATCAGCCGAAGAAGTGGAAAAGAGTGGTCTAGCCGAAGCATTTAGCAGTTTGAAATACGATGATACACCTACCCAGCTAATGGTCAATTTCAAAAAGATGGGAAATGAATCTTTTGCCAATGGCAAACGCAATGTCACCAACAATATGCAATATTATCGCGATGCCGTCAATCACTACTATGAAGCATTTGCTTGGGCGCAAAGGATTGAGCCAATGCTACCAGGAGACTTGAAAGCAGCGGATAATGACGATCCAACGTATACCGAACAGGAGCTAGATGCCTTGAAGGCAACCATTTGTTGCAACGCCGCATTGGCACACACACAACTCAAAAATTGGGGTTTGGTTCGAGAACAAGCAAACAAGGTAGGATTCAAAATGTCAAGTGTGTGATGAGAAAGAAAAAACATGGTGCACTCATCAAACATTCAAAACATCTTCCAGGCAATCATCTTTGATGACAAGAATGTCAAGGCATGGTTTCGCTTAGCCAAAGCGCATCAAATGCTACAAAGCTGGGAGGAAGCAGGAGATGCTATTGATAAAGGTCTAGCTCTCCCAGGACAGGAAAACAATGCCGACTTGAAAAAACTTCATAAGCTATTGTCGGCCAAGGTACAGCGAGCCAGGAAACTGCGACAAGAACGAGAACGGGCAAGAGCCGCACGAGTGTCTCATGTGAAACAAGTGTGGAAACATTGCAAAGACAGCAAAATTCAACTGGGAAGGGTTCCTCTTGTGGCCAGTGTCACTGACGATGAAGATGGAACAGACGATGAATCCAGGTGGCACCATCACAGACCAAACTCTGGCAATCTACCAGCACTGGCCTTGCACGAGTGGACGTGGCCTTGCATGTTTTTGTATCCATCCCATCAGCAATCCGACTTTGTTCGGCAGTTTGGGGAATCTGAAATGCTAGCGCTTAGAATGGCCGAAATGTTCCCCGAGGCAGAGGATGGCAACGATGAAACTGCGATACCATGGGATCACAACAACGAGTTTATGTGCAGCAAACTGGCCGTATACTTTGAAGTCCACTGCAGTGATTCAGACACTCTCGTTCATCCTGACTTTGTTTCAAAACTGAAGGACCAGGGTGAAGCAATGCGTTTCTACGAGGCTTCCAGAGCCCTTTTGGGGGATGAAGGAGCAGACATGGCGAATGTTGTCAAGGCAGTGGAAAGGAAAAATCTGTATAAGCAGCGAAAGGCGTGGAAGAAGAAGCATGGCAGCATCTGGTCCAAGCCTGACCCATGCCCAGTAGTCAGGGTTCACCCTGCGGTTACTCTTCGGGAAATTCTGGTGGATCCGAGGATGGTGGCGGCGAACTTCTTTGTCACTCTCATTCTGTTCCCGGAGAACCATCCGGCTCATGAAGCATTCTTGAAAGAACACAAATGTGTTGGGCTGATTCAACCCAAGGAAGCCAGCTAGCTAGTAGGCAACTTGATCGGCTAGAATACTCTACTCTTGTAGTACTGTACCTGGTACCGTGGGCTACATTTGAACGGTCGTCTAGTGTAGAGGCTGGTTAGTTTGATTTATCCAAATGTAGGTTGCTGTAGTTACGTCATAACTGCGCGTAGCTTGTTTGCATGTAATGCTGCGTACGTCGATTGATTGCACTGTGCATCTTTAGAACTCGGGTGTGTACAAGAATCGAAGAATGAACGGCATGGAGACCTGGGTCATGAACAAGAAGAAAGGGCCAACCAATGGAATTGTCATCATCTTGTCAAAGTCAACCAAGAGATCACTTCCCAGCTGAGCCAATATTTGAATGATTGTTGTGCGTGGGATTCTCTTTCCGTAGTACGACTTCAGCGCGCCTTCAATATCCCGTGTGTGCGTGACTGTGGAGAGCTCTTCGATCAATCTGTAACCGTCTTCTGTGGCTTGACATCCTCCTTGACCGAGGTTGCTGGAGAGTTAGTGGTGAACCGGATTGATTGAGTATTGGCGAACGAGCATAACCACACAGAAAGAGACAAAAGAGAAAACACAAGCTCAAGAAACTTACGGCATCATTGGATGTGCAGCATCTCCACAGATGGCAACCTGACCTCGAGTCCACCCTTTGGACAACAATGGAGCACCATCATACAAATCTCTGCGCTTGATGTCTTCTTCGGGCGATGCCTTCAAAAGCTCGTGAGCAAAGCCATCCCAGACATCACCATTCTTATCTCCTGGTTCCTCATTGTTGAATTCATTCAAGAGACGGGCAAGCTTGGGATTGGGGTTTTCCTCGCTGGGTTCCGGGTCGACTCCTCCAGCATCTTCTCGAATCAAGGCAAACCATTGTTGACGTTCACCTCCACCATCCGTGCTGACAAAGTACTTGTCTTTTCCCAGTAGAATCTGGTACGATACTTCCTCAATGTTACTTGCCTTGTGCTTAGCAAGGGCCGCATAGCACGTGAATCCGGAATAACGTCGGTTGGCATTCTCTGCCATGAGCACACTGTCCTTGGCCATGCGTCTAGCTTCTGCCTCGTTCAAGGCACCCCCAGCTGCACCCGAGGCTGCAAATCCATCAGCGCCCTGATCCAAGCCATGCATGATGCGTCGCACAGAGGACCAGATTCCATCGGCACCCACGAGGACATCGGCATAGGCAACAGTACCATCTTCCAGTGTGATCTATAATGTTGACAGATTTGATTTGATTCATAATGGTTGAGGGTTGTGAAGTGAGTGACCAAAGCAAACGATCTAGGTCACGAATGAACCAATAAATCAATGAACATACCTTGAGGCCTTCACCTGGTCCCAGTTCTTCGTAGGTGGCGATACGACTTTTGATTCGGACGGTTCCTTCTGGAATTCCATGGTTGAGAAGAATTTGTTGAATGACGGGTCGATCGACGACGACGGTGGCCGGCAATCCAGCTTGTAGTGCTGGCTGGAGTGTATCGAAGCGAACCAACCAATCTCCCTTTTCGTATTGCTGTCCCAGTCCTAGGAAGACTCCCTTTTTGTATCCAATTTTGAGTCCGGACACTCGGTCTGCCGTGACGGTTCCGGCCTTGAGAATTTCTTGGTAAACAGTGGGGTTGATTCGTTCGAGTGCTCTCAAGGCATTGGATTGAATCTGGATGGGTCCACCGTAGGGTGCATATTGGGACGCCTGTTCAAAGATGGTGACTTCCATGCCTTTGGAATGTGCCGCCGCTGCGGCAACCAATCCGGCGACTCCACCTCCCGCCACGACGACTCGGAGGGGTCTATCGGGTGTAATCTCTCGACTTTCAATGGGCTGCCTCCACACTGCACTTCCATCATCCTGTGTGGCACATCCCTTGGCTTTGGCGGCATCTTCGGCCGCTTGGCGAAAGCGTTCTCGGACTTGCTTGACCCGTTCGGCAGTTTCGGGCGTCCTGACGGGAGCTTCCATGGTGGATGCATGGATTTTTGTTGGCGATGAATCTTTCAAAGGACCAGTAGTTCGTGGTTGAGGGGCAAATGCATTTGTAGTTGCTACCGCCACCAGGCCCAGAGCCAAACACTTTTGTATCGACAGGAACTTCATTTTTCTTTTCACTTTTGTTTGTTTGGTAAGTTACGGTATCTTCCAACTAGCTAGAGGGAGCAGCCAATGCAATTATAATTTGCAACAAATGTTGTCTAACAAATGTGATCAGTCAAGGGGATGGCAGGACGAAACTGGCTTTTTGGTGGGCCACATGCATGGATGCTTTGCATGGCTTGCATCAAGATAGATGAGCAATTGGTTTCTTCCACAAAGGTCAGTGATGCCAAGGAGGAAGAAACTTCAACCGTGACTTGACAAGCGTGAGCTGGAACGTTCAAACTCGCTTTGGATGTCAGCTTTCAAGCCAGCTTAAGCTGTAGGAGACTGGCAAGTGCTTGCGAATGGAACGAAGGAAACAGAGACAGCAGGCGGCAATGAAGACAGCATGCAGCGAAGAAGCAAGGAAGACACAAACAGCCACACAAACATTTATTTTATGAAAAGCAAACAACAGCAAAGATGATGGCTGGATACGATCCCTCCGCAGCGGCGGCTGCTTCTGAAGATATGGATGAGGATGACGAATTGGAGGCTTGGAAACAGGTTCATCAACAACTCATCAATGCCGTGTTGATTTCACGAGACGCCATCTCCATCCAAAAATCCCAACGACAGTATTGGTTGACCGAGCTATCGGCCAATTTGACCCCGGAAGGCAAATTGACGCCTTCGTCCTTGTGGAAGCGTCCTTCCGGTCGTAAAAAGAAAGGAAAGGCTGCGGCTGCCAAGAAAAAAGGACGACGCAAAAAGGAGACCGAGACCAAGCCGCCTCCCGTCAAAAAGCGCAAATATACCAAGCGAGCCAAGAAAAAGGAAGAGGAAGAAGAGGAGGAGGAAGAAGAAGTGGCCGCGCCCGTCATGGAAGAAGAAGCGTCGGACCACGATGACGACGATGAAGAGGAAGAAGAAGAATTCGTAGGACCTCCGGGCAAACACTTGAGGTTGTTGAAGGGAGATGAAGATGACGAAACGGAAGAAGAAGATGAAGATGACGACAATACACATGGGGAAGAATCCTTTTTGAGTGGAAACGGTCCATCGGGAAGTGCAGGAGGAGGTCCTGGCTCGGTACGATACTTTTATTTCATTCATGCATTCATCAATCTGATCTATCCTGGTTTCTATTCTTCCTCACACACTTTTTCTCTCTCCAATTATCTTTTGCAGTCACCTACAGGAGGAGGATTCTCTTCGTTTCTTCCGGGTTCACAGTTCCCATCCTTTTATGATGAAATGCAGGAAGATCAGCAAGGTAATGATCACTTGATGGATCAATCTGGAGGATTCGCGGCAATCCCAGAACAAGACGATGACTCGGATGATGACACTGAAGAGGATGACTACTAATTTCTTGAAAATTAATCCACAAGCTGCAAAGACATGATCTTACAATCCACATTGGTTGATGCTGGTGAATTGGTTTGTTTGGCTGGTTTATGGTTTGTTTTCAGCAGCTATCCAAACGACAAGGCCGTACGAGCCTGTTCAATGGCATCTTTTGGTTCCGACAGTTGCAATAGACGGTTCTCTTCATCAATCGACTCATCAAATGCGCACTGATGCAGTTCATCCAACAATCCCTCCACAATCACGGTTTCTTGCATCGAATACGCCGTCGAAGGAACCGAACCAATACGATCAATGGTAATCTCGTCTTCCTGCAACTCGATGGTCAGCATGGCCGTTCGATCGTGAAAGTAGAAATCAATAACATAGTCCTCTCGAGACGGTTGATCCGCTTTCCACGCATTTCTGTGGGGTGTATTCTGCATCCCCATTAAATAAAACATCAAGAACAAACGCAACCCTCCGGGTTTGATGGCTCGAACTTATTAATACCGTACGGTACACAGCAACAAACAAGAGGAACGAGTAGCAAATAATGGTCAGGGACAAACACACGGACATCATACCGTACTGTAAGAGTCACCCCGAATGCGTCTTTCTTACCCGGAATGGTTACAACGCGATTCTCAGTGGCATAATCGTCCTCGCTGTTCCCATTGTTGTTACTGTCATGGTTGTCACCACTGCCATACTCCGAAAAGAAGTTTTGGATACCATCAAAGAATCCACCCATTTGCAAGGCAGATGATGGAACAGCTGGTGGTTGCTCTGCCAATCCTTTGCCAGAACAATGACGGTGGCTCGGAACTGTTACAAAGGCTTCAGTGGCCGTAAAGAACAGCAACGACAGCCCGAGGCAACGCCTCAGGAATCCCATCGAAAGAGGAGGCATCCTCGAGCAGGTTACTAGATCTCCCGAGGTAAGCTTAATACTTGAGGTAGCTATGTATCAGCCAAACCACAGCTCAATAGGGCCTACATCCCTTCCCGTCCATGCCTCTGGCTAGCTAGTTCTGACAGCTCCGACTGTTACTGTTGTGAGGACACCTCGGCAACAACGCAGGTGGGGAGTGAATCACTGGTGAGTGACTCAGCGTTACAGTGAGTCTGAGTCGTTCATGGTTGGATCTTTTGGCCCTCGGATGACATCACGAAACACGGCCTCTACAGTTTACTTTCCTCTTATTGCTTTGACAAGCATGTAGAAGTAATACCCCGTTGTGATGACAGCTACAGATATTGCTATTGCAGCTATCGCTATCGACCACGGTTACTCCTCTGCAATCCTTGTCTTTATCCTGTACATGTCAACGCGGAACCCCAAACAGATAGAGGTTCTCAATGGATTCATCCTGCCACCGTTCTCCAGCTAGCTAGTTTCGGTGCATGAGCAGATTCGATTCACTCTTTCATCAAGAGACAGCTACAGTAACATAGTATGAAGATATTTGATTTTCCTGAGCCCTCGCGAACAGCTCTGTAGCAAGAATGAAAGTGCAAAAGCAGGTTGACTATAGTCTAGTGCCTTGTGTGTTTGTTTCTACGCAGTGTCATCCCGTATCAAACAAACTAATAAGTTTCCCTTCATTGGTCGACTGTCCACTGCATGCAGGAGATAGGCGCTGATTGTAGAAACCATTGTTCACTGTGATGCAACTGCAACCACCTTTATGCTTGACGAGCTGGCAAAGTCTTTCTCGCTGCTTCAATGGCTGCTGGGTCCAATTTCAAGAGTCTCTGGCTTTCTTCGACATCTTCCACTTCATCAAATGCAATTTTGTATAGTTCATCGAGCACTCCATGGAGCATGACACTTTCCTGCAGCATGTATTCCAGAGAAGGCCGTTCTCCGTGACGTTGAATCTGAATGGCATTTGGCTGCAACCCAATTTGACACATGCCCGTTCCATCCTTGTAGTAAATTTGCAGCCCACCTTCTTCGTCTTCTCGTGGCAACCAGGATTGTGAATCTTTCTGATTTTGTTGACCCACAATGTAGATTTGAAGAAAGAACCGTAGAGGGCGTGGCTTGACCTTCTCCACGGGAATGGTGATGACTGTCTTGAGACCTGGCTGCTCTTGTTGAGGTTGAAACAGTCCTTTGAGAATATTATTGTTATCCTTATCCGAGTCGCCACCAAAGAGACCCATGGAAAGAGACGTGCAAGTCGTAGATGTCGAAATTGATTGGGACGACTGTAGTGCAATCATTGGGCTGGTAGTAAATGAACGGCAGCTTTGTGGAACCATCCACAGCAGCAAAACTACCCAAAATTTGGTTGCTTGAACAATGAACGTCATGGTCAAACTTGAACAGAGAAAAAATAGCCTTGCAGCAAATGCTTTGTGAAGCAGTCGAATACTGTTTTTGAAGGGCTTTCCTGAAGCAACAGTGATGGTATCTGGAGACAAACAATTGACTCAAACCTACGATCCAATCACCCCATTGATGAGTTCAGCCCTGGCCACGCAGCCAGGTGTGATCTGCCGCCGACAAAATCGTCAGTAGTGACTCATTCAGTCACTAATTTAGTCGCGAATTAAGTGTGAATGGTTTACTGCTTACCTCCCTACTTTTCCGTCACCCGAAGCTTGGTCGGAAACCGTCGGAAACAAAGCGCTGTGAGAGGGTCAACACCATCGTCGAAGTGCTATCATCATCTCTATCGATCAACCACCAGTAACATCAATATATCGACACCATGGCAGGAGGAGGTAAGACGATTGGGGTCGGGGTCCTCTGATGAATTTATGCTGTTTCATGGAGATGTGCTAACTTATCTTTCCCGTTATTCTGTTGATCGTCGCAGCTAAGAAAGCAGCTGCTGTGAGCAAGCAGATCAAGAAGGGCATTTCCAAGAAGGGAACTCGCATCCACACACGCGTTCACTTCTACAAGCCCAAGACACTGAAGCACAGCCGAAAGCCCAAGTACGATCGCAACAGCACACCACGAAAGAATGCGCTCAGGGACAAGCACTCCATCATCAAGTACCCCTTGACCACAGAATCATCGATGAAACTTATTGAAGATTCCAACACCCTCGTCTTCATCGTTGACATCAAGTCCAACAAGCGACAAATTAAGGCTGCCGTACGAGAACTATACAATATTGAATGCGAAAAGGTCAACACCTTGATCACTCCTCGTGGATTGAAGAAGAGCTATGTTCGACTTAGCAAAGACTATGATGCTCTGGATGTAGCAAACAGGGTTGGTGTCATCTAAGCAGTGAAATGTTGTGAAGGATTCAGCATAACTACAAGTACCATAATAAAACTACAACTAACTCATGCTTCCATCACGATCACATCTCCTATCTAGAGTAGCTAGAATGTGGTCACAAATTTGAGAACACTTTGCATGTACCGTACGTTATTGGATTAGGCGTGTAACAGAGTCTGTGCAACGCTCAGGTCTTGTACCTGCCCCCATCTATCCTAGGATGGGTCCGCTGCACCGGCTAATAGGTCCGGCACCGGTAGGATTTCTGCTGACAGACACAACCAGCGGGAGTTTCGTTTGTGGAACTTTGCTGAAGGGATGTTATGATGTTATGCTCCTCCTGACTTTGCCATTTCCTTCTTGGCGAACTTGTACCAGGTACACGTATCCTCGCATTCGGATGTATTCGGGGCTGCCGGCATCAGCTGCTTCACGCACCCAGTTGTCATTCTTCACGGTTACATCCTTAACACTCACAGCCAGTCTCGCCTTCATCGCACTCAATGACCAAGGCACCGTCCAGATCCAAGCTCTCAATCACAACAGTACCGGGGCCACTTACTTGACTACCAGCAGAGAGTACTTGGGACTAATCTTGACCTTGTCGGGACTGGGAAACACTTTGGAATACTCGGCAGGACAAGTCACAAAGCCTGGTTTAAATACTACTACCTGAGGACTGAGAATCAACTTGATGCCTTCATGAGTTTCCTCGGAGGCGTCTTTGACCTTACAGCAAATGGTTCGCATGATTGCTTTAAAAGCTCTGTACCGGTACTGATCGGCCTCTCCAGTGGCTGCCTCCGTCTCCCAATAACATAAGCTACCTTATGCTCATTGTTGGTGTCTCCTTCAAGGATGCCAGCTCCAGTGTTCCGCTTTAGCACTCCAGCGTAGGCAGGCACCACAACGACCCGATGATCTTGGCTTCATCCCTGAGCAAGCCCACAGAAGGAAACAATTCACTTGAGGACTATGTATGTTTACTCGACCAAGCCTGGACAACAGCTAGTTTGTGGATGGCATGTATGACTGGAACTAGCACTGCCTGTAAAGATATATTTGTGCCTGGTGAATGGCAGTAGGTTGGAGTGGGGCAGATCTACATTTGTCAGTCTACTTTGTGACAAGGGAGGGCTATGGTAAGTAAACAATGTAAGGACTTCCCTGCTATCACTTTTAAAGGTATCTTTCCCTTGCAACGACTTAGATTGTATGCTATAGCAACAGACAGTGAACAACCAGATCCCACCTCCCGAACCTAGAGAATAATGCACTTGGAACAGTCGCACATCTCTTGGCTTTCGTTGGCTTCGCCTGCCATGGGTGCATTCAGATCTCCACCTGCCATCACAATCAACCCCTTTGGTGGTTCCTCTTGTTTGGTGGCTGGTTGCTGTAGCTCCTCTTGTGGTTCGTCTGCTGCGGCAGTCTTTGCGGGGGCCGTAGGCTCTGCTTGGGCAGGAAGCTCAGATTTGAGAGTCTCCGTAGTTGTCGCACCCGTCTGTGGCTCTTGTACAGCTTTTGGTTCTGCTTCAACCGGAGGCACCGGCTTTGGAGCAGCAACTTCTACTACAATCTCTGGTTCACTAGGCTGCGTTGATGACGCCTGCTGTCCCTCATCCTTGTTTTTCACGCTTTGGATCTCCTCTTTCTTCTTCTTGGGAGGTGCAACATCCTTGGTTAAAGGGGTTGGGGGCATTGGTTTCTGGTTAGTGTTGAGCTCATCCTGTGTTGGAATAACAGAAGCTGGTGAAAGTGGTGTGTCCGCCCCGTTGGCCATCGCATTGTTCTTCTTTTTTTGGGACCTTCCCCTGGACTTGCCGCCCTGGTTCTTCTTGCCGCTCTTCTTCTTACCCATGGTATATCAACTTGCCCAATCAACTTGGTACAGATTAAGTGTTCACGGATGGCTTTTAAAACCACCAACAAAAGTACAGCCGTACTCGAATACTAGTAATGAAAAGTTAGCACGCACTGTGCATGTGGTGCTCTTTTTGGCACCCTCAAGCAGAAGACTTCAATTTGAAAATTGGAAGGTGTCAACTTTGTCGTTGGGCGATGGGAGCATGAGCTGATCCAACCAGATGGTGGCTCGCCCTCCTTGGGAATGTTCCAGAATCTGGTTCTCGTTTGTGACGTCAGAGAATGAGAAGATCCAAAAGATCGGCGGAAACAACATCAACAAAATAGGCAAAGACACCTTCAAAGTGCTATTCGTAACCGAACTATCATGATGCTTCTACCAATGCAAAGGACTACAAGTGCTGCATGTAGCGCTGCTGTTTATCTGGCGGCGCTTGTCTGTTTTCTCCATACGGTTCCAGTAGTGTCATTTCATGTGGTTTCTCCGCCCCCTACCCAAAACCAACTATTCAATCCAATTGCGAAATGTCTGACATGCTTGCACATGGCTTTCGACGATGAAGCCGACGATGATGAGCCAGAAACGACGGATCCAACCGGTCCACAGTCCGTCAATGTTCTCGGCACACCGCTGAAACCTTGCTGCACTGACGTCGGAGGGAGTGGTATCGGAACAGGTTTCTACCGAAATGGATACTGCAGTACGGGGGAGCAAGACTTGGGACGTCACACCGTCTGTGTACAGGTTACGGACGACTTCTTGCAATTTTCCCAAGCTGTCGGGAACGACTTGAGTACACCTGTGCCGCAGTATATGTTTCCGGGCCTCAAGGAGGGAGATATCTGGTGCCTCTGTGCGCAACGATGGGCACAAGCCTATCAAAATGGCAAGGCACCCAAACTCTTCTTGCAAGCCACTCACGAAAAGACTTTGGACTTTGCCTCTTTTGAAGTTCTAAGAGAATTTGCATTGGATAAAGAAGAGGCTGATCAACGTCTTGATGATCTGAATGAACAACGTGAAAGGTTGAAGAAACTATTGGACTAATCGGACGACTGCCATGAAGGAGAAGCAGACTTTGCTTTCATTGGGTTTCACTGCTGACAATCAATCCGCAGTAATTGACAAGAACAGGATCTGACTTCAAACGGGATAAAGAGGCCCGAGCAGGCTGTATTCCGTTGGACTGATGTCCAATTGTATTTTCCAGCGTTTCTCGATTTCTTACATTATGACAAACATATTTAAAAAAATGCAAGTACCTGGTACTCTAGTACTCAGAATTGACTTTGATCGCATTTCTGGCCTGCTCCCGTGGATGTCTCAATACGGTGGTAGTTTTTCTCTGAGCTATGGTACCAGGTACCTTGTAAGAGGAAAGCTCACCAAGGGTATCCAGACTCCAGCATCTCGTTTCTGCAAACCATCCGGAACTGTCTTGCTATTCTGAATCAGAAACAAGTGTGTTATGCCAAAAGGACTGGGAGCGTTCACCCGGGGAAACCTTCAGCTTCCTCCTCAACTTAACGCCGAGGGGAGGAACTGCATCCTGTAAACTGTTGTCGCTGGAGGAATGAATCCAATCTCTCTGAGCCCGTCTTGTGGGCGATGAGCATGCCGTTTGCGGGCAATTCGTGGTGGTTCCTTCAATGACTGCAAGCATACCGGTACCGCTCCAGAACCCATCAGGGCTCCTAATAATAGGAACATAATGGGCCAGAATGTCGAAGCTGAAGTGGTCCGGGCTCCAGTGGGCTCCATGCTGTGTCCTATTTTTGATGTGTACGGTACAATGAGATCCCAAGGCCGTGGGAACTCTGACGATGATACTGGTACGCACTGGCGAAGACTTTTCCTCAACATTCTCCGAGACTGCAGTGGGTGTTATAGCAGTGATCGAGTCCACCTGCAGCGGCAGCTTTACGTACCGGATTGTGTGAGCCGTACGTTGGGACGGGAGACCTTGACGACGCAAAATACCGGTACCGGTACGACAGCTGGGCGAGAGCGTCAATGTTGTGGACTCGTTCCATGAGTTCAGTGAGTTCCTTGCGTCCGGAACGCAGTTCGCAGTTGTAACACTGACCAGTAAGAACAACTGGTACAAACTTGCATTGTGCTTTATGTTAGTCTGTACAGCGACGACGATCGCTGCTCATAAAATCCTTGCTTTGCCACACGGTAACCACACACAATAGGAGAGGTTGATCAGTTTTCTCTCGTTTTGAGTTGTTTGGGTGACAAACCCACTTGGAGCCATCTGATACTACACATCTGACATTTTTGTGTTGTTGTTCACAACAGGCTTCTTTGATCAGCAAAGTATCAATGGTTATCATCGTCTCTTATCAAGATCATCTTTGCACTACTAGCTAGAGTTTGACCAAGCTATCTAGAGAGTCAATCACTCTTTGAAGATTCCCACGATGTCCTCTGTCTGCCAAAACCCAGATAAAGCCTTGCTTCCATATCCCATCCACGGTCGCTGAGCTGCTTCATCAGTAATGAACCAGTCTTGCTTCCAAATAGTCCGTCAAGCTGTGACCGAGTCCTTCATACAATCAAGGGGTCAAAAGGTTGGCGTAAGAGTAAAACAGTACAAGACAAGCAGATGCAATAAGAAACAACTCACGTTTTGATCATCTGTAGAGTGTCATCAGTTTGCGGTGATCGATCAAGGCACTTCCGAAGAAGCATGCAATGGACGAAAGCCTTTAGCTCGTCGCTATTGCCAGCGCCATTTCGTAGCGTTGACTTGACAGTGTACTCTCTCTTATTCTTCTGGACAATTCCCACAATGTACTTTTCCTCGGAGAATTCTTGGATGAGCGACTCTGGGTCTACAGATGGTTGTAAGATATCATTCACCGACTTTGAAGACTTCATGCACTTGAGTATGTCCATGATGGATACTCCTAGTACGATAGATTGTCGCCGGGGGAATAAAAGCGTGTAGGTGGATCGAATCATGGATTCCTCAATGTCATTTGGACCCGGGAGTAGCTGTGGTTGTGCCATCAACAATTGTGCCGCGTCCGAGTTGGGATCCTCGTCGTAGCTGTGTGCCATTGCGGCCACGAGTGCCTCCAAGGCTACCGTGGCTCGTTCTCGGTTGAGCGTATTGAGCTTGAGCAATTTGACTCCTCGGTAGTTGGCCCACATGTGCAACCAAGTGAAGAACAGGAAGACTGTCCATGACATTGCGAATTCCACGGGTACTTGCCATTCGTGTGGTATGGTGTCATATAAAGTCAGGGGTTGCTCCTCATATTCTTCTGCCAAATGCTTCAACATGGCTGCCAATTGTACTCCGAGTATCATTCCAACCAGCGACACGAGCGTTTCTTGTGTGCCCTCTTTGGCATTGAGGTCTGCCATGTTTCCTTCCAATGCCAAATGGCACGTGATACTACTCTTGGTAGCCCCCGCGGACATGCCACACATGGTTTTGGACAGTGTTGAAGCCGACATGAGTGCCAACAAACAACTGGAGGGCACCAGTGGCGCCAGCATATCGAGTGTCAAGGCAACATCATTGATGAGATCGGCAAAGAGTCGGAATTCGAGCACATAGGCATCAAAATGTGGGGATGCATAGTAGGAAAAGACGAGTCCTCCAATCATTCCCATTCCATCCTTCATGGCCCACGTCATGGCAGCCCCCATGGCCGTGGCGTCGGCATTTCCCACTCCAGCCGCCGCTAACACGGCTGAAGTGGAGACAACTCCTCGGAGATAGGAACATAGACCTTGCAGTGAATCGTAGAACTGGTAGGGGAGGTATGAGGAATCCACCGAGTGCGGAAATCCCAGTGGAAGAAAGAGGTCTATCAGCACTTGTTTGGGCGTTCTCAGAAGCGCATTCCAAGTGGATTGGTGGGTTGTAGTAGTGACTTGGTTGATCTTGACAGAGGACGAGGAAAGATCCAGCTGGTACTCTCGACGAGGAATGGTCTTCTCGCTCGTTCCCTGGTCTCCTTGAAAGAGAATAGGATCCTCGTCATACTCCTGAATGTGAAACTTCATGGCCATCTTGTTGGCTTGCCTCTTCTCCTTTTCTTCTTCAAGTTCGTCTTTGTCCTAGCGTGATCATGCAGTCGACAAGTTTTCCCGTTTTCCAATGGATTCAAGCCATTAGAGCTGTTAAAGAAATCAAAGGACGAAAGGGAAAATTTCAAAGTTGAAATTTGCGGAAGGAATTAAGCGCCACGTGACAGCCTTAGACTGCTCGACAGCAATCCACCATCACGCAATCAACAGCATTCGCCTTCAGTTCGACCAAAACCATTCGATGACTAGCTAGCTTGATAAGTCAGGAAGAGACAAAGATCCACAATAGCATTGGAATCAGTGTAGTTTGGGAGTCTCCTGTTTGGTTTGAACAGCCCCAGGCTCTGTGAGAAGGGGCATCTCAATCACAGAGGGCTGAGGAGGTCTCGTGGTGGGGGTTCTCTACCGGTACTACTGTAGCAGTCGCTGTTGCCGTTGGCGCCATGGAGAAGGGCTCCACTGCAGGTGGCGGTGGAAAGGGCAACTCGTCTCGAAACCGCAAGTCGAAGAACAAACGCTCGAGGCGCAAGGGCGACAATTCACGTAGAAATGCAGGAGGAAACAACAACAGCAGTGGGAACAACAACAATAACAATGGCAAGGGAGGTGGCGGAAACAAGAAGCGTAGCAAGGGACCACCCACACCGCCTCAGACCAAGATTGTCATTCGCAATATTGGAGACAATACTAAGCATGGTTCTGTCAAGGATGTGATTGCCTTGATTCGAATCTTTTTGGAGGGAGCCAACCAGAAACTAGCTGCCTTGAGCTCAAAGACAATCCAACTAGATGAAGCTGCTGCTGCTACGCTCATTATGGAAGCAGAGGCTTTGTTGAAAGCTCAGGCAGAAGCCAAAAAGTCGGAAGGAAATAAAGAAGAAAGTGAGTCTGTCAACGAGGAAAAGGAGGAAATGCCAAAAGAGGAACGGGCCGTGGAAGAGGAGCCCAAAAATGCCAAGGGAGCTGCTAGTACTACCACTGCCACTGATGGATCGGTTTCAGTGGCCGACAACATGGCGGCAAGCCTTGGGGCACGCATCATTTATCTAATCCCACCCAAACAAACTCGGCGCCGTGGAGTCAAACCTGGATGTGTCTATCTGGTCATTTCAGGTCCTCGCATTGAACCTAAAGATCCACCTACCATGGCGGATTCCTCTAATCATTCCAACACCAAACAACCAAAGGAAGAGAAGAAAGAGGCAAGCAACGGAGAAGAAGAAGCAGAAGTTGATGGATCAGATACCAAGAAAGACGGAGATGCCGATGAAAAACAGACCGAGGAGGAGGGCGACAATCTTAACGGCAGCAACGAAGACAATCAAGCTAACAATCCTGAACCCACCGGCGATGGCGAGAATCACGTGGTGATTGTGGACCCTGCCACGGAAAAGAAATCCAACAACAATAAAAATGCTACAACAACCACCAGTCCTGCTGCTGACTACTCTCGTGAAGTTGCCAAAGGACGCTTCCTGGTCACTCAGGCCATTGGTGTCATGGAAGAGCATGCCATGGAAGATGCCAAAGCTGAACAGAAATATTCCGGATGTGTGGTAGAAGTAGCCATGAGTGGCAAAACATACAAGCAAAACTTTCCTCGACGTGATCGTCGCGAAGGAACGCTCGAATCCACAGCAGACTACAAACAGTTCATGGAAAAGATTGCTAAAGACAAGGAGGAAATCATGGCAAGACCCAAACCGGCGCCGGGTGGGGGCACCACAACTGTTGCTGTCGCCGCAGCTACCGGTACTGGTACAACCGAAACAGCCGCCGAAGGCAACCAGCAAATTGCTGCACTTGTGGAGCACATTCGAAGTAAACGCGCGGAGGCGTCCAAGCGAAAGAAAGCCAAAAAGAAGGCTAAGGAAACGGCTAACAAAGAGAAGGGTGGCAGCAACGCAAACAACAATGCGAGCAGTGGCAAGTCGTCGAGGAAGAAAAAGGGCAAAGATGGAACTGGAGAAGAGGGAGGCAAAAAGGGACGAGGCAAGAAGGAGGGAAAGAAAAGTAGGAAATCAGGCAAGAAGAAGAATGCCAAAACCATGGCCACTCCAACGGCTTTGCTAAAGCCTGCAGCTCAACAACCAGCAGCAGCGAACGGTGTGGCGGGTGGTGGATTCCAAGGCTACGGGTAAGGGCTTTTTGTTTTATTGAAAGGGGTTACTGTTTGGCACAGAACAAGCACACGAACAACGAACAACCATAAATCGAAGGAAGTGTTTGTCAAGTGCAATGACTGTACAAGCGTGCCACGGGCGGGATCGGTTCCAGTGTTTCTGTTTTTGTTTGCACAGAGCGACCATACAGTGTATATGGCCTGACACAGCAACCATCGAGCCTTTCTCCGTTTCGTGCGCGCGAGAAAATGAAGAAAATGCCCCCTACAAATGATGAGCACCTAGGCCAAGAAGCCCAATCTGCTTATCACGCCGAGAACTAATGATACGTATATGATGATCTAATGCCATTCAATGGTGAATGGTTGAATGGTAGTGCTGCTTGCTCCCGCACGATTATGATGGATGAGAGCGAGCAGTACCCAAGTGTTGCAAATCAGAGATGTTTGGAACGACTGGCTAAACGCTGGGCTGTGATATCGAGATAGTTGGAGAGATGTTTCTGTCACAGATGCAACAGTGATTTTAGCGGTAGATAACCTAGATTTCTGATTTCCAAGAAACCGAGCACTACGGTACTGTCTAGCGTATCCAGACACTCTAGGTGCTCGCTGCCTGAGCAGGCAAGAAGCTCTACTGGAAGCTCCCTGCTGCATGCAAGCTACCGTGGCTCTGGAGACTCTGGATAATGCATGCGACGAAATCTCTTCCCAAGGAACCTTTTGGCCATACTAGTACCCTATTGTCTACCAGCACCTCATTCTGAAAGCTGTCTTACTGCAAACCTTGAAGTTGGCTGCATCCACGTAAGCCAAGCGTGGTCTCGGAAGGTGTGCATCACAATTTTGGCGACCGCGCCATCTTGGGAGCACTCTCATCAGTCACACTAGTCTATTGGTCAGGACTCCCTGTACAATCTGCTATGACATACTCGTACCAAGCGAACGGAGTTGCGGGGAATGGGCCTTTGAAGCACCTGTTGGGGAAAACTCCTGATTTTGGTTGAGCTTCCACTTTGAGTCATGCTATTAGTACAAAACCTTTCAGATTCCCACTTCCGTACAGATTATATTACTAGCACCACTCGAGGTAAAATATTTGGAATTTGTATTTTCAGTGATTAAAAAACTGAAATTGATTCCAACAAACCCAGAAACAGGTATTCCCGCAACTCTAACACGTTTGTGTTCGCAACGTGGAAATTGTCCCTTGAAGAAGAAAAAGCCGATAAGCGAGCACAGAACAGCCGATGCACAGAATTATCAACAGACTTTTTGTTGAAGAACAGAACCACCAAGCAGCAAGCGTTGTATTCTTGACACCTTGCTTGCAGAACCACATACGCTCAACCGATACTTGTTCTATCACAACTCAAGCGCAAACAGTTCCACAGAGTATAATACCATTTCGCACAACCCAAGATGTGTCAGCTTTTGGGCATGAACTGCCGGGCGTTGACGGACTTTAGTTTCTCCTTTCGAGGTTTCTGCCGCCGTGGGGGTGCCACCGACATTCATAGTCATGGGTTTGGAGTGAGCATTTACGAAGGAAGAGGGTTGCGTTCTTTCCTGGACACATTGCCGGCGGCCACATCTCCTGTCGCCGAACTGGTACAACGGTATCCCATTCGGACCTATGTGAGTCAAGTCGAGTCATTTGTGGTTAATCGTTGGCCTTCGCAAAGCGTTGACTGGAGAATGGCTGTTTCTCACATGTGCCGCCTCTGTTATACCCATGTTTTCAGAATATGATGGCCCATGTTCGATATGCTACCCAAGGCTGTGTTTCGCTTGAAAATGTGCATCCATTCTCACGAGAATTGTGGGGTATTCATTGGTGCTTTGCCCACAACGGTGAGGTCCCAAAATTCATCCATTGGGGAGACAGCGAAGACTCGGCTCCCCGGTTGGGAAAGACGCGAGAACTTGCCTACCGACCCATTGGAGATACCGACAGTGAAGCGGTATTTTGCGCCATTTTGAATGCACTCAAGGCAGAATTCGACTCTCTTCCCACACTGCCCGTCTTGCATACCTTTTTGAAAGAACTAACCAATGAAATCATTGAAGGACACCCAGAGGACACCATATTCAACTTTCTACTGGGATGTGGACAATACACACTCTTTGCCTATAGTTGGCCGGGAAGGCGGCCAGGATCCAAAGTTTGGAACGGATTGCATTACATCGTCCGAGAACCACCTTTCACCACGGCCAAACTGGTTGATGATGATTATATGATTGATTTTGCCGCAGTAACAACACCCAAAGACCGCGTAGCTGTGATTACAACAAAGCCACTAACCAGTGAGGAGGGATGGACAGAATTCAAACGAGGAGAGCTACTCATGTTTGATAATGGATTGCCTCATGCCAGCCCCGAAACTTGTGAATCGGTCGAGCTCCAGGGCCGTGGTCTATTCTCCAAATGCTTTGGAAAGGGATGCCCCAATAGTAGGAGAGTCTGTCCCAATCAGCAACTGTCAATAGAGAATGATGATGGCAGCAACGATAGTGTGGCCTCCACTACAGACACATCAATATTCTCCGAAGCATCAGCGGTCTCTTTGAGAGAATGTGGAGTGGAAAGCAATGAGACAAGCGAAAAGCAGCAACACGCAACAGAGCCAGCCGTCGTGGCAGAATTGAATCAACAACAGTCTTCCCCTGCGGCTGTTTGGTGCTGACACAGAATCAGCAGGATGTTGCTAGCTGCCGGTACCAGGTACTGATACAGAACCTATGCCAGCCAAGGAAAACTGAAGCTAAGAGGAGTCATTACAATTTTGTGATAATAGGAGCTATTAGAGGAGAGAATGTACAATAAACATAATATTGGTTCAGCCGCACGAAGACACTACTGGTACGAACCGAAGAGCAAACTGGAAGTTGGTTTAGAAACCTGCGGATGAATGTCCTGAACAGAAAAGACTTACTTAGTGTTCTGATGGTGCATATAAAGCTGACGAGTAGATAGCTATGATTCGCAAAGTAGCGACAGCTTAGTTTGGTTAGTTACTTCAAACCTCAAGAAGCCTTCGGTTCACTGCCATCATAATCGTCCTTCTCATCATCAAAGTCATGAGCTGCCACACCTCTTCGCACTGCATTGGCAACCTTGGACCGGGCACTACCAGAGGCGTACTTTTGGATGTGTTCTAAATATCGGTCCTTGTCTGGCAGTGTTGATTTCACACTCTCCAAGTTCATGACGTGATCGTACCACTCGTGGTAAGGCTCCAGCTCTTTGGATTCTGGAATTTTGTATTCGGGGCCACGATAATGTTCAAACACATAATAGCGGTAGGCCCACGGAATGAGTGTCAAGTCGACATTGGAGAGCTGTCCATCGGGCAAGAACACGGGCCCGGGTGTCTTTTGCAATTGTTCGGAGAATGTCGTCAATCCATTGATTAGTTTGTCAAAGAATTCTCTTCGTTCGTCGTCTTCCTTTCTGACGAGGACCCCGTAATAAGGGGAACAGCAGTCACGATTGACCTTGTCGGCCCAGATTCTGGATTGTGCCGCCAACAATGGATCATCGGATACCAGTTTATCTTTTCCCGTGGCTCCACTAACTTGATCGATGAAATCAATACAGACGAGACTTTCGTAGACAACTTTGGATTCATCTGGTTGTTGCGTTTCGGGGTCAACGGTAATCAAGGTTGGCACTAGGGCACTTTTGTTGACGCGTGTGAGTTCTTCGGCTTTCCAATGATAATACCAGTCTTGGCCGGTTCCTGTGACACTGTTGGCGTCATTTTGGAGTTCCCAGCCCTGCAAGAAGAAAAAAATTCAACATGTTGAAATGAAGCAATGAGATCGTTGCGGACGGTATGGGCAGGGCATTTGTCCTTCATATATGACTTACCAGTGCCTATCAAAGCCACAAAAAGGGAAGAGGAGGCGGATACAGAGGTCTTGTTAGTAAAGTCATGAAACTGCAACGCGAGTTGAGTCCAAGGATCCAACCCATCACCTCACGAAAAGAAAGAAGATGAAAGAATGACGCTTCTAGACTCACCTCAACCCATTCATAATCGACCCTTCCTTTGTGGTGGGCAAATGCCAGAGTACTCCTATGAGCAAATGGACAGAACCATGCTGATAGATAGCGGAATTTGGGGATGGCTTTGGTTGCGGTGGACGCCATGGAACTGAATTAGACTACCAAAAAAAAACTGAGTTTGTTGAACTCACTTTCATTTTCAGGGTGGAGCGAAGAAGAACACGTCAGTTGCCAGCAGAGCTGTTGTTAGTCACGGATGCCAGTCGTTTGCGAGCAAACCAATACGACTGTAACGATCGACCATCAACCCCAAGTCCCAAAGTCCCCAAGATCCAAGACCCAAGACGGCTTACCATCACAACACATCCAACATCCAACAGCCCAATACATGCAACGAAGATGGTGAGAAGCCCAGCACTACTACAAGCACTAGGACCATGCCTTCTGGCTTGGTGCCTAATGTGCCTCCATGATGTGGAAGCCATTTCCAGTATAGGTGATACTGTAAACAACAAGATACCCACAACAGGCATATGCAAACAATCATTATCAACACGTGGAGGTGCTTCCAGTATTAGGAAAAGTAGAGAGGAAGATCCCTTTATTTCCGTCGCTCGTGCCATTCAAGATCGTTTGGCAGACGTGATGCAAGATTCTTCGCCGCTTGAAGTGGGAGATATTGCGGATGCCTTTGTCCAGCTATCATCGTCGCAGCAAACATTCAAGGGTTTGGATGGAGCCGCTCATGAGGCGTATCAACGAACCCATACGGGAGATGATGTTGATCTGTCAGTTAGAGGCAGAGCACGACGAAGTGCCGCTCGAGCTGCTGCTACAGCTGATGGACTTGGAGCCTGTGAGCTTTGTGAGTTGCTTGAAATTCCACTATTGGACGAGGAGGAGGCATCAGTCAATGGGACTCTGGTGGGTCGTCAAGTTCTCTTGAATCTGACGGTAGGAGAAAGCAACATTTCCGTGGGAAAGGGCAAGCTATCAGTAGTGGTTCTGTACGAACCGCTTTATACAGGTGGTGCTGGCTTGATGCATGGTGGAATTGAAGAACAAAACAGCAAGATTCGGAGCAAGTCTAATTCCGGACGTCTGCTTGTAATTGTCAGCGACCAACTACAACAAGATTTGACGCGGTCCTTACAATTGTTGGATCAGCCAGCCAAACATGTGCGTCTCAGTTCTGGGCTTGTAAGTGGTGAGGTTGCTTCGGTGCAGCCCAGCTTGTACAAGGCAGCAGGGTTGTTGCTGGAGACTCTGGCACCCATTCTTCGACAGTACGATAATTCAACCTCAGCAATTCACTTTGTCGGACGATCCTTGGCGGGTGGTGTTGCAAATCTTGCTGCCATTATGTTAGATGGAAGCCTTCCCATGCCCAAGAAAAACAAAAAGGCCAACAAAAAGTCCAAGAAAAACCAGTCAGCTGCACCGGTCGAGGCAAGCCCATCCAAAGAAGGTAACGATCTGCCAATGAATGCCACCTCGGATGCGAATGCCACAAACGTGCAACCACTGTCAGGTCTGGGAAGGGACCGAACGTCCTGTGTTAGCTTGGGAGCTCCTCCCTGTGTCTCGGCCAATGTCGAATCGGAGTTTATCATTTCCATCCTTTATGGTGATGACATTATTTGTCGAGCATCCAGGGCCAGCTTCGATCGGCTCTTGGATCGGTCCCAAAAAGCAATCAAGAGCAAGGGATGGTTTGGAGGGAAGCAACTCAACATGATGGGGGATGCCTTCTCCTTGACAATGTCAAGTTTGAGGTCGCATGCACACGGGAGTGAAGGAGAAGAGCTGCGATTGGCCACGCCTGGTCGAGCATATTTATTGCGACCAAGACGACTGGGAGGTGCCTGTAGCATTCATGAAGTGGGAAACCGACTCAAGGGAGGACGAGAAGCATTACGAGCGCATATTTTGTGGCAGCTAGATGATATTCTGCTGAGCAAGAGCTTATGGAAACATCATCAATTGACTTCGTACATTCATGGACTGGATAGAGCGCATTTGAGGGGCTTTTCGGATGATGCCGAAGAAGAGGAAGATTATTAATTATGGTGTTCCAGTCTGCTTGTGCTGGGATCTGGTCTTCTGTGGGTTCTACATACATAGGACTGGGAACAGCATGCAGATCCTCCGGATGTTCGATAAGATCGCCTTGTCTGACCCAAGTAAAGTGTTCTCACCAAATCTGAATCGATTCTATTCTATTCAATTACTTGCTAGCGTTATGACAGTGACAAGTAGCTTTGGTTTGCATGGAAAGAGAGCTCAGGGATAGTTCTGTTGAGTTGTAGATTCGCCTTTGACGGTCTTCCAGGAGTCTTCTGGTTGCTAAATTGCAGCAATCAAGGTGTGATCGTGTGATCCCGTCGGACCTTAACCGCCCGGTGCTGGACTATTGAATTCGCTTGGCCCTTCGATTGCACCGTATTTCCATTCCTGATTAAATCTATCCACCGGCTTATTGCTTTACGTCAGACCATCAATCCCTTTGACGCCACAGCTCAGCCACTCACTATTCTGCAAAACAAGATCTTTGCCATCATTTGGGATCAGTTGTTGCCGCCATCATACCATCTCCTGTATCCCTGCATTCCATACAGGTACTGGTTGATTCAGTTCGAACACTCCTGGTCTAATGATTTTCTGCACTCGCAGCAGCGTGTCCTTTGTGTTGGTGTTCTGTATCTCTACCATGTTGGCATCCCGCGTTACCCGAGCCTCGCAAAGGCAGTTCGCATCACTGAGCAGAAGAAATAGGGGAGTGGCCTTTGTATCAAGTGCATTGCCTTCGGAACGATCTCAACAACAGCAGCAACATCAGAGGAATTATCCCAAGTTTGTTCCAAATCACAATTTCCGGTCTCTCTGGACTCGTCAATTTTCGGGCACTACTACCGATACAAGCAACGACGAAAATGGTATTTTTGCCAACCCCGAAATCACATTTGCATCCATGGGTATTCAATCACCTGTCTTGTTGGAACGGCTCGAAAAAATAGGCATTACCAGACCTACTGCAGTCCAAGCAGCCACCTTTGAGTTGCTATCTCAGATACCCGGGAAAAATGTCACCTTGGGAAGTGAAACGGGATCAGGCAAGACGTTGGCGTATCTACTGCCTCTCTTGGACGATATTCTCACTCGTAAGAAAGAACAATCTGCTGATACTGATACCATCCGAGATTATGCGTATGCCAGGGCCATGATTCTAGTGCCCAACAAGGAATTGGTACAACAAGTGGCTCGCATGGCCATGGTATTGAGTGGAGGCAAACAAGCCTTGATTGGAGGAGGTGTCAGTCTGGATAATAATGCATTTTCAGATGATGCTGCATCACCAGAAGAAATTGTTCGAATTGCCATTATGCCTGGAGGCTTGAAAGAACCCAAAGATTTCCCTCCGTTCCGAAAGGCACTCCTGGGACAAGCAGAACCGATCGACCTCGTCATTTCCACACCCGCTGCGGTGGGAGCTCTGGGATTGTCTCCCAAGAATATCAACATGTTTGCCGAAATTGCTACGGTGGTCTGCGACGAGGCCGATATGCTCTTGGATGGTGGTTACATTCGGCCACTGGAGCAAGTCTTGCTAGGATTCCGACGAGCCGACAAGTTGGATTTTGCGGCTCATGGAGTCCCCAAAACGCAGCATGTCTTTGTGGCAGCCACATTGCCTGACATGGGATTGAGAAGTGTCGATGCATACTTGCACAAAAAATTCCCACAGGCGACCCGGGTGACCATTGATGGCATGCACAATGCTCGGCACTATGGTCTGGTCGAACCCACCGTCTGGGTCGAGTTGGAAAGCAAAAAGGATCGGCTGGAATACTTTACCAAATTGCTCGAGGTTGCACCTCAAGAGGGTGGATTGCAAGGCCAAAAGATTATGCTCTTTGTCAATAGTGTCGATGACGTGGAAGGTGTTGCCAAGGCTTTCGAGAAGTTGGACATGGCCGCCTTGCCGTATCATGCCAAAATGTCTTTGGAGGAACGAACCCAAAACCTTGATCGATTTCGACGGTACCAGTCGACTTCTACAGGAGACGACGACGGCGACACGGTACCCATTCTGATTTGCACCGATTTGGCCAGCCGTGGAGTCGACATCCCTGGAGTTAGTGCCATTGTGCAGTTGCAATTCGCCGGAAATGTTGTGGCTCATCTTCATCGAATGGGACGGTGTGGTCGTGCTGGACAGCGAACAGGTCGAGGAGTGGTGTTTTATAATGCCAAGGAACGAGAGTTGGTAGATGTGGTAAAGGAAGCCGAAAAGCTACAAGAGAAAATAACACTCAAGGGTCAAGACGTGCTGGAGGTGGAGCTGGATGAGGAGGGTAATGTGGTCAAAGCCGGGACGGTCAACAATGCCTTTAGCCGAAAACGAGGGTTCACCAAGAAGAGGAAAAAGCAGCGACGACAGGTGGAGTATGACAATGTAAATCAATAGACTCGACTCAAGTTGTGGTTACGAGAAATCTGTGTTATTTATTTCCGTGCTCCTCTGGTTGGGTTCTTTCTTGTGCCCTCTCTTGGAGGATTCTTGGCAGGAGAGCTGCGTTTGTGCTCGCTGCTAGCTTCGGAAGCATTATCTGACTCGTTGTCTTCGTCCTGCTGCTGCACTTTTTCAGATTCCTTTTCTTTTTCTTTCTTACTACTTCTCGTCTTGCCAGTAGTCTCTGTTTTCTCTTTCGTGGATTGTTTGGGGGTATTGTCGCTAGTATTATCATCGTCTTCAGCTGCAGCAGCTGCTGCCTTATCCTGGTTTAGTTTTTTCAAGAAATTCAGAGCACTGGGGGGTGGGGCATCGCTCTTGATCTCGGCACTTGTGGAAGATGCTCCTTGTCCTGATGTGCCACTAGCAGCAGCGAGACGAGCCTTCTTGTTGGTCCCCGTCGCAGTGGTATCCTCGCTTTCGGATTTCATGGTTCGTTTCGCTGAACCCTGTCTAGCTCCAGCTATGCTCCCTCGTCGCATCAGTCCAGCCTTGGATGCATTGGATTGTGCAATACTCTTCCCCACCAGTCCTTTGGGAGCGGATTTGCCCACAGTAGTGGACTTCTTTGCAGAAGCACTGGGATTGACGCGGGCGGCGGGAATGGTAGGCATGGAAGGCGGTAACGCAATAGCCGGTGTGACAATGGCTTCCTTGTGAATTACCTTGGCAGCATCCCTGCACTTGGCTTCAATTTCCAGCAGTTTCTTGTATTCGCCGCCGCCGCTGGAGGGTGTGTAGTCCTTGTCGCCTAGAGCCAAGGCAATGGCATCCGCCATGGTATGTTCGCAGAGAACACTGAGCGCATCCAAATACTGACTGCTCGGCAGGGCACTCTTGGAACTGGAACCTGCTGCTCCTCGTTGGGCTGCAATGCCGCTGCTGCCCGTCTTTCGTGGGAGAGATGACATGGTGGCACAACAAGAGAGGGAAACGAGAAATGGCTGGTTGCGTAGATTGCCATCGTGCCATCGTTGCATCTGGAGGCAGTTCAGAGGTTTAAGCAAACATGCCATAAATTTGCTTTCAGTACCGAATGAAAGCGAGATTTATTTGAAGCCTTTCAACTTTCATTGCATGCCTTTGGCAATGGGCATCACCGGTACGGTACGCATGAGCAAGGTCAGCTGGAAGAGCACGCCCTTGGTCATGGTGATCCACTTCCAACCGAGGATATTTGAGTTCATAGTCTCCGTTCTGGATAGCCTCTTGGGGCTCCTTCAAGTACCGGTACGGTAGTCTACACGTTACTGCGGGAATTCTTGCATTGCGAAACGACACTCGTCCCATTTGAAGAATCATAGCCTTGATGAGAGCAAGCATGCTATGAGCCTGCGTTCGTACTGGGGGATGGTTACGAAAGGAAAGTCGTGTCCCTTGCCCTTTGCAATGAACTATTGGCGCTGCAGGCACAAGGGCAAGTTTCATTAGTACCGTATTAGAAAAGAATCTGGTCGCCCAGCACTGATGAGTCAGTTAGACGCAACAATCGATCTTTTTAGAGTTACCACAGATCGAACCAACGGTCACTGTTGATTCGAGCTCAGAGTATTATTAATAGTAGAATTACTTAATCAGTCACTCTTTACTGACATCGTATCGTACCGTATGCTTCTATGGTCCAGAGCAATTCAAACCTTTCCCTCATCCCTAGCTAGTAGTAGTAACTTAAGGATTCCTCGATGCTGGAAGGTTCAGCCGATTGGTTGGGTGGTGTGGGCTGCCGTACATGTTCCTGACTGTCTACCAGTGACGAAGAAAAGTCGCACATGCAACCAGCTCTTAATTTTCCCTCATTAATAATGTCGGTAAAGTTGTGGATTGTTTTGGAGCTCATCGCAAGAGTCGCTATTAGCGAAGTCATGCAAGACATGGTTTTTAGGCCATCGAGGATCCATTTGACCTCTTGAAGAAGGTGAGCCCAACGCGTACGTATCTATTGTGTGCCTTTGTTTTCCGCTAACACGGTGCCCTTGAGCCAAGCGACGCCTTTGAGTTTGGTCGAACCATTCTCATGAACGTACTGTCTGGCTATAGACTTGACAATCCCTGTGTTGCTGCAAATTCCACCTGCGCTCAGGACAATGCTGCTGTCATCGCCCATGGTTTCAAAAATCCCATTGAAAGCTGGTCCATTAGCCGACGTCGTTGACACCCAGCCCTTGTCTACCCTGCCAATATTTGTGTCATCGACCAATGTTGCTGGAGTCTGCAGCACCTGTTCCCACTTTAAGCGTTGAGCCATCCAAGGCTGGGAAACCGATGGCATTCGACAACGCAGGATGTGTTCCCACACAATGTTTTCAGGGACATGATGGAGAACTTTTGGCTCTGGAGTTGGAGTTGGGTCCGATTTTTTGGTGACGACTTGGCAGATTGTGGTGTCTTCCAAATTTTGAGGGTTCTTTGCTGCCAGAATCAAACGCGATTTGCCAATTGTCAAGCTCGATATCCAGAGGGAATCCTCCAGACCATCATTCACGGGTCCGCAAGTGTATGAACCATCTTCAAAGTACCGAAAGCCGTCATTGGCTCTGTTGGCATAGAATCCTTCCTCGGTATTAATAGCCGTACCAGTCTCAGTGGCCAACAACGACGGTATTTCGCGGATGCCCTGAACAGCACCACCACAACTTCGCATGACCTCGCCAACGGCTTCTTCTCTATCCGTGCCAGTAGAATCTTGCCATTTCCAAGTACCCACGAGTTTTTCGCTGAACGTGTCAAACCGAGGTGTGGCACAGGACGTGAATGAGGCGATGGAAGAAGAACTGCTGAGGGCGCGAGCGACACGGGCACTACAAAGCGCCGTTGTCATGAACAAAAAGAAGATTCTATTGTTATGCATATTGCAAAGATTGTGTTGTGAGCGATCTGAGCCTCCAAGGGGCCATGCCCCAAGGGTACATCCTGTTTCAGACTTCCGAAGTCTGTTTTCCCATGTCAAGTGCAATCTAGCGTGAGATAGATCCCCCTCTAGCTTGAGGGGACCGAAAATGACCTGTGGTAGCGATTTATGACTATCCAGTTACCAGATTACTAGAAATCAACCACAACAACCAAGTAGTAACACACACAACACTATAGCAACCTCTTTATCAACACCACCATCATCAGCCTTTTTCGGTACATGTATTCCCACATCGTCGGATTGATTGAGATCGAGACGGGCACCGAGCAGAAGATGGTTGCGTCAGACGTCAGACGACGATCGCTGAGTCAGTTTCAAGAAGCCAGCTCGAGCTGGATAGATTATTCTGGAGGGTTACAATTGAAATTTCCCCCCAAAAAAGTTCGGTGCCATCCTCCCCTCTACTAGCTAGTAGTTCCGTGGACAGTGGGAATTGGATACTGGTTGGGTTGTGAAGCAGACTGCTGGGTGCAGTATAATCTGAAAAAACCGCAGCAAAGCAACACTTCAAGGATTTTGAGTCCGTCTGCTTCAGACACTGGCTGCAATGCAAGACACAACATGAAAGACTTGTCGTCAGCTCCCAAAAACAATTATCAGCTGGATACCATCCTGCCTCAGCGATTTTTCGAGGGACAGCAATCGTTTCAATACTTGTTCCGAGCGTGTGGTTTGTGCAGCTTCAACAGAGACCAGAAACGAAATATTCGGCCGCCGATGTGAAGCAAACCAGAATAACTCTGTCATCATGATGCAAAATATTTCCATATAGCTTACTACAAAGTATGTCCTTTTGATAATCACAGATTCGATTCATACTGTGTTCAAAAACAGGAGTTGCACCAGTATCCACGCTCCCGAGAGTTGCACCAATGCATCCGCACTCCCGAGCGACACCGCCACACTATCAAAACCAAAGGGAAAAGCAGAAGGTTGTTGCTTGCTTGGTTTGATTCCTCCGTTAGTTCGGCTGCTAGATCGTCCGTCCTCGTCTCGTCTCGGTTCGTTCGAGGACGAGTTCCATCTATAACATAATTACTTTTTCTTTCCAAACAAGACTTCTTCGAATTGTTTCCACAAAATGGAGAAGAGAATGCCCTGTAGACCATTTGCCAAAATCTTGGTTTCCAATCCACGGAACATCAACCCAGTGACACCGGATTCGGCCAAGACTCGTCGAAGAACTTCGGGATAGGCGAGTTGTTCGGGATGCGATTGTTTGTAGACCTTCATGACTCGGATAGAGTTGCTGCAAGTATCGCTGACAGCAGAACTGCAGAATCCCATGAGGGCACGACGTCCCAATTCGGCCACTTGTGTATCTTGTTTGGGGATTTTCTCGGACAGATAATTGTAGGTTGCAAACCAGGGGTAGTGGCCCACAAAGGTGGCCGAGGCAGCAGCCAGAGCACCGTTCCACAAGGCGGGGGGACCGGCAACTTTGACCTTGTCCACGACAGCGGAGAATTTACCAGTCACTTGCATTGTTGTCTATTCATTTATATATTTGTTTGTTTGTTTGTGCCGTGTGATGTGTGATGAGTGATGATAATAGGGATTTGGACGGTGAGATGAATGAATAAAATTGTAAAAGTGTGAAAAACTTTGCGGTTGGGCAGAAAACTAACTCACCTTGACGGTATCAATGGGCATGATGACGATTCGGAAAGTGGCGGCTGCTGCACTGGCACATCCCGACTTGATTCCAATGTTCATGTCCTTGGTCTGTTCAAAGCTATTGAGCAGAGTCAGGATCCCCGTGTTGGCGGCTGTGTCACCAAAACGCGAGAGAGGTCCCTGAAGCAGAGCAGGAACCACACCTCGGTAGAAACGGGGGATACCTCCATCCGCATACAGCGTCCGTAGGGCAACGGGAAAGGAAACACCACTTCGGTATTGGTAGTTAACCTGAAAAACAAAAGAATGACCAGACAAATGACGGACAAGTCAGTGTGAGGTCCAGGAATTCATCAGTTTTTGCACATAGTACCATCAGCAACGGGCGGTTTCAGTTTGCTTACCGTGGTTCTCATCCACATGAGACAAGCCACATTGGCACCCATGGCAGCGGCGCCGGCAAGTCCACCACGGAGGGCACTTGCGCTGGCCTTTGCCATGATTTCATTGAAGGTGGGTGGAGTTGCTTTGTCGGCGGACATGGTTGAGTTCTTTTAGCAAAAAATAAAATAATAGATGCTGCTACAGGTATGATGAGATTATTTCTTCTCTTATGTTGTTGTGTTGTTGTTTTGTTGTTTTTATGCTAGCTTTCAAAGATTCTGCTCACCAAACAAAGGAGGAAGACCGCTTGAGCTGATATGATGTGTTACTCACTCGAGCCGCGACAGGACAGGAAATGGACGATGTCAGCGAAGCTAAGCTGTAAAAAACAGTTTCCTGTGTAGAAACGGTCACCAAATTGAGCTAAACATTGAGAAAGATCGCGGGAAGAACACAGGACCAACTCTACGGTGGTACAAACGATGAGTACATAGTGGTACGGCCAGTGCCAATACAGGATCGCGCTTGTAGTACGTGGTGGCAGACAAGACGTCGTCATTGCCGGAGAACTTCTCAGAACTTCTGATACACATCAACCAAGCCACTAAAAATGAGTCGAGTCAAGTCAATTCGAATAGGTTTTGATTCGATTCGGTCGGTCGAGTCAGAGTCGACATGATTCGATTCGATTCAATTCGATTTGAATCGATTCGACACTAAAATTGCCGGAATCGAAACCAATCGAACTACGCAGCAAGCAGCAAGCAACACAAGCACAACGTTGCCACAACCAACAACAACAAACCAAGATGCCTCGATTCTTTGACGATTACTCCAATACCTACTTGACCCATGATAGCTCTGCCGGTCGAAAGCAGCAGCGCCGCGGTTGGAAGTTTCGTGAGAATTTCAAGTTGCACTACGACAAGGTTAGTTTGGACGATCATCTTGGTTATCGTTTCGTTTCGATTCGGTTCTCACCTAGTTTCTCTGTCTTGGCTCTCTTCTGTATTTATTTATTCAATTCAGCATGTAGACGATTGGAGAAAGGGTCCAATGGGACTGGCATCGGCGCAGCAAGCGTTTATTCGAGCACGGGGAAGCGACGATCCGGCTGTGGCACCGCTGCCCGATGGATGGTTTGAAGAGACCGACGAAGCCACGGGTATTATCTTTTATGGCGAAAAGAGCACTGGAAAGCGCACGTGGGTACGACCTGGATTCATTCCTCCGCCACCAGGACGAGGACCACCTCCCAGAGGAATGGGACAAGGACCGCCCATGGGGAATAGAGGTCCGCCTCCTGGATTCCAGCGCGGACCCCCACCCGGTTTCTACGGACAAAGGCCACCTCCCTCACAGGGAATGCCGCCGCAACAACCACCACCAGCAGGAATGCCACCTCCACCCTTTCCTGGGGGTCCTCCTCCTCCGCCTGGACAATTCGCGCAACCACCTCCTCATCCAGGAGTGCCTCCTCCCAACATGTATCAGCAACCACCTCCTTCCTAAACTCTACAATCCGCCACAGTCAGTTTGTCGGTTACAATGCACCCTTCTGTTGGCCTTTTTAGTTTTACAATGTATGTGGAAAAATTCTTCCAGATTAGTGGTTAGTTTGTGCAGACCAGATTGCAAAGCGAACAAATTTAGGAATAAGCTCAGGATGTGTGTGGAAATAATATGAAATATGTCTCCTGGTAAGAGACAATCGGTAGTGCTGAATTTATTGAAGAAGGATGATCGATGGTACAGAGGTTATGAAAGGATAGTTTAATACTTAGAGAAGTACGGCACCATTTATCACGCTTATGGTACGTGGTACCGGTATGTGATGGTCGCTGCACTGTTCAAAGGAGAGCGACATAGTACATGAGTCGCGTCGGGATTGTATTGTAATCTGAAGCAATCTTTGGTCAATTTCAATTTGTTATTCCATGAAGCAAATGTAGTAGTACACCGCAGCCCAGTGGAAGATGGAAGCTGTCAACACAAACAAATGCCAAATGCTGTGATCCAAGAAATTGTCGCGCAGAAAAAAGGGGATTCCGGTAGTGTAACCAACACCTCCCAACACTATCAAATTTGTGGCTCCAGTGGCCACCGAATCCACCACTTCTTTGGGAGCAATCACAGCCACCCAACCGATACCCAAATACATGGAAAGCGAAAAGATTTGCTTTCGTTTCCACGTGGGATGTGCATATTCCACATAAATGCCAATCAGCGTAAGCACCCAAATGAATGCCAACATTCCCACCAACAGGTGAAAGTGATCGACCATGGTGATTGTAATGAACGGGGTATAACTTCCGGCAATGAGAATGTAAATGGCACATTTGTCCAGGACCTCAAAGATGTATCGCGTTTGTTGCAGAGCAAAGAAGGAATGGTACAGAGTGGAGCTCGTGTAGAGGACCAGCAGAGACACCGAGTAGATGGCACAACTGAAGAAGTGGCGGTTGCTCATGTCCTGGACCCGCTTCATCAACAGTACGGCTCCGACAATCGCCAGAATGATGCCCAAACCATGTGTGCAGCCATTCAATATCTTGATGAAGCAATCGAACAAGAGTTTGAAACAGTTAGTAAGTTAGCAGCGCAACGAAAGATGTGTACCACAGTTGTTAGGTTGCTCCACCAATCGTCAACAAGACACCGACACTACAACATCTACCAATACCGGTACAGTATGGCATGAACTAACTCAACTCACCTCTTGAAGAACAAGATTGCCGAAAATGTCGACAAAGATGGAGTCTCGTCCCTTGTCTGTTCGTTCCATCATGGCCCGTTCAATGGCTAGACTACCTCGAAATCCAATCCGGTTGACACTGAGATCCACATCGACCAATCCTAGGTGTGAATCTTGACCGTCTTGACAATCTCGTTGCAAGAGTTCGGCAAATGCCAGTCCACCTCGTTCCCCAATGATGCACTTGCGCATCCCCAATCTCCTGACGGTTCGATTCCTGGAACACGCCAAGAAAATGGCCGAGGCCCCGTAAGGACCCAGACGATTGCCTTCCATTCGTACCTCCTGAATGTACTCGGACTGTTGTAATATTTTGGACAGAGTCAAAGCTCCATGCGACCGGAATCCTCGTTGTCCATGCAGCTTTCCTTCCTTGCTGCTTCTGGTAAAGTCTAGTCTCTTGATGAATCTTAGTGGTCCATTTCCGTGTCGCAGCATAATTTCTGCCAGTGCCAGCATGTCGGCATCGTGAAAGTCTCCACTGACGCGAAGCGACGGCAGGGAGAATCGTAGGGTTGTCAAGACTCCGGCATTGACCCGGTCTTGACATCCATAAAACCTGCAGGTGGCAATGTACTCGGCAATGATATTCTCGACAGTGGCCATTTTTCCCGGCTCGAGTGGCTGTAGCATGGGTGCCAGTACGAGTGGCGAGACGACGGAACTTTGTCGAGCGACTTCTTGCATATTGTAGTCATGAAACGAGAGACCATTGTTGCCCTGAGCATCATCCAAGTCTTGCAATAAGGAAGAACTCGTTGGAGACGTCGCCACCAGTTCGTCGCCATGATCTGGTCGTCGACAATCCCTGCAGTACATTCCTCCGGCCAAGCTCCCAATGAGCCGAGTGGACAATGGTAGACTCCGGTGGATGGAGGAATTTCGGCGAAAGCCAGCACCGTCCAGCAGTGGCGTGTTTGGTTCGGACGAATTGTCGTTGTTACTCATACTCGAGTCATCGCCGTCGTTCTTCTTTATCCTGCCGGCAACAGTAGTACTGGCCATGGCTGCAGTTCCTGTGTGGACGCTCTTAATTTTCATCGGGTGTCAATTCAAGTCAAGTCACTTCAATTGATAATTGTTGTCCACTTGTTTCTTTTGTGTCAAAGTCTTGAAGATTGGTACCAGCAGATACTCATCGGATATCAAGTTAAGTCAAGTCAAGTCAAGTGTCAACGGCCTGAAGATTATTGTGAGAGAGTGAGAGACCTGAGTCCAACTGTAGCAGCAGATACCGACACCCAACTAGCTAGCTAGCTAGCTACTACGGTAGAGGGATTTGAGAACAGGTCCGAATGCTGTTTCAATAGTGCAGCCGACTCCATGAACTACTCTGGCAGGATGAATCCGACTCCAGCATTCGATATGCTAGCTAGCTAGTTGCTGGTCATCAAATTGGAAGACCGAGAGATCCTTTTGCTTTCTTGATCTCGTTTTGTTCTCTCGTCACCATCAACCCAGCTTCCGCATAATGAAGCCGCAGAGCTGCTTATAATTTTTGGAGGGGACTGACGTCAGTCCATTTGATTTCTTGCCACATTGTTGTTGTTCTTGTTCGGTGGCTTCATTGTTTGATGTTTTCTTGTCATTATTCAACCCCGTACCGTAGGAAGGAAGATGAAGACTATGGCAAAACAACTGCTGTGGCGACCTTGGCATGGGACCCTTTCGATATTGGTTTCGCTGCTGATAATATCGAGAGTGAATTCATTCTGCTCGTGGCAGCCATCATTTCGGCATGGTTCGGCTACCCATGGTTTTTGCTCATCCAAGCTCTTGGCTGTGACCAACGGTGCTGCTGCCCCCACTATTAATACCGATATCACCCATGGAGAAGCCACTGCTAACGGAGAACAAGCCAAGGCAAACTCCACCTCTATTACGACACCTTGGTTCGAGAGAAAGGATGATGTGTTCATGACGGTCGCCTCCAATGCCGCCAACTGCCTCTTTCAGAGTGACATGAAACGAGATGCTCGACAAGACAAGGATGGGGCGGTTGCTTCTGGTGCCACAAACTGGATTGACGATGCCGCTGCATTTGACCTCAAAAATGCTCTAGACAAAGTCAAACTCAAGCTACCGGATGAACGAACCGGGTTGGACCGTGACGAAGCATCCTCGTGGATTCGATGGATGAAAGCCAGTCCGACACCCATGATTATCAATCTATCCGAAGAACTACGACAATTGGCCAATCAGACACTCTCCCCTGCGAGCCTCCAATTGATGGATCAAACACCAACACAGTTTCTCCAACGATTGGGGTGCAGACTGGTCATTCTACCTTCGGGAGCCGCTCTGGACAGTCCTTTGACAGAGGCCGCCGGTTCCATGATTTATGGTAAACTTCTCTTTGGAGGAGTCACACGCTATCGATTGCTTGTTTCATCCAGTAACAACAACTACAACAATATTAATCGACCAGCACGAAGGACGGGAGAGCGAACCGTGCTAAAGCCATCCACCAAGGATGATACTCCCGTCTGGATTCAGTACGGTGGGCCGGAACGAATGTACGAAGCAGTAGACATGGGAGCTGCAGCCCTCTTGGAGGTCGTCGTTATGCCTCTTGGACAACAGCTGGAAAGTGTCATGGGAAACAACATGGTCGTGGGGAAAATCGTTTGGAAGCCACAGCAAATGTTCACATCATTCATGGATCCAGAAGATGAGACGGCACGAGAGGACTTGGATGACAACAGCAACAACAACAATCAAATTCATGGGTACACTCCCGTTAGTTTATCCGGGAAGGAGCGAAATGAAGCTTTTCAAAATGACTTTCAATCAAGTGTTGGCGGGCTACAGCCTCAGATTGATGCCATTGTTCGAAGAGTTCTTGACGGACGCATCATTAGACCAGCCGAAGACGTCTCAACTGCTCCAGGAAGTGTTGAGGAGGGAGATTTTACCACCCAACAGCTAGCCTTGGCATCCATGGAAGCTGAAGAACTAGCGTTGCTGGGGCTCACGCCGGTCCGTGGCTTACTCCTTTATGGCCCTCCTGGTTGTGGGAAAACGGCGCTGGCAAGGGAAATATCCAGATCACTTCGGGCCAGAGCTCCCAAGATAGTGTCTGCACCCGAGTTGTTGGACCGATGGGTGGGTGGTAGCGAAAAATTGGTGAGGGCCTTGTTTGCGGATGCAGAGGCAGAGCTGGCTGCCTGCAATGGAGATGCCACCAAAAGTGCTCTCCACGTGATTGTCATTGATGAGATTGACGCCGTCTTTCGAAAACGATCCACCGCAGAAGATTCCGGAGAAGCAACGAGATCATCGGTTGTTAATCAGATACTGGCCAAGTTAGATGGTGTGAATGCGATTCCGAATGTTCTGCTCATTGGAATGACCAATAGAAGAGAACTGTTGGACGATGCACTGTTGAGACCAGGCAGACTGGAGGTGCAGATTGAAATACCTCTCCCAGACAAGGAAGGAAGGAGAGAGATTCTCCAGATTCATTTTGACGCCTTGCGGAGGAAGGGGCGTCTTAGCATGCCACTTTGCTGCGCAGTTGATGGTGTTGCATCCAGTTCCAGTTCTCTTGGAGATACCACTCTTCAAGATTCGTCCTCTTCTCCGCCAGAGACAGGAGATATTGGGTCGGAAACAGATGATGGACCAATCAAGGGCAGGAAACGACGTGCTGTGAAGCAAGCCATCAATAAGGTGTTTGATACTTTGCCAATGAGTGCGAGGAACACGTTTGACCTTGCTGCTGACTACGCGACGGCTGGATTCAGTGGTGCTGACATTGCAGGTTTGGTTCGTTGTGCGGGGTCCATTGCATTGGCTCGTGCCCGCAAGGATGGGAATGGCATCGAGAGCCTTTTGATCACAATGGAAGACGTGAAGCAGGCACTCGACGAAGTGAAGAAGGTGTGAGATTCTGACTTTATCCCAAGTTGACCAACCAAGCGAAGAGGGCACAAGGATAAGCGAAGGTAGCACCAGGACAAGGGCAATCGCACATGGCTGGCAGAACGAACGATCAGGTCCAGCAGCGATTAGCTAGCGAAGAGATCATCAGGATAGGTTTCATAGAGAGCTCTCCCTAGACCTAGCTTCCCCGAGGAGAAAGAGACAGGTGAAGATATCCTGCTCTGGAAAGGTGTAGCCAATCCTCTGACGGGCAAAAACAAAAAAAACAGCATTAATTGAAAGGAGGCCGGCTCCATGAGTTCTTTGGAGCTTGCATCTCCGTGGATAGAAGCGAGAAACACCAAAAGTCTCCTTTAATGAACAAGTGATTATTTTACCGCGAGAGACAACACAACATTGATAACATCCACACCGCTTAGCAGCCTGTAACTTTTCTTGAAAGGAATAGTAACTCTTGTTGAAAGGGAAAAAATACCTTACTGTACTTGACTATCCTATTTGTAGCTAGCTAACAGTGCTCTATTTCTTTGTTCCAATGAGGGAAAGGAACATGTTGAAGGCAACCTGGACACTGTTGATGAAGACAAGACGGTGCTTTGTGGAGATGAACTTGAAGTTCACTGCATGCACAATGGGCCAGACCTTCCAGGATCCTTGGCAGGCACTAAGAAGGTCGTTCTTGATCTTGCTTCCAATGGTGGAGAGGGAATCTCCGTTGACCAATCCAAGGTAGAAGAAGAACACACTCATGAAGATGGGGCTGCAAATCAAGAGGCAGACGAAAGAGTTGAGAGTTTGATGTTGACAAATATCATTTGCGAGACCATGTGCGTGTGTCCCAAACGTACCACCAGCAGATCTGATCAATGGCAACCTTGAGCGCAACATCCTTAGCTTCAGTTCCGGGGATCTTGCTATCAAGCCAGTTGTAGAAATAGTGACCAGAGGGACCGTGGTAGATGAAACCGAAGACAGACAGGGTGATGAAACGCTGCATGTCGAATGGTCCTCCACTAATGAAGATCTATAGAAGTAAGTAGAGAACGGACTTGCGTTAGAAGACCTAAACCAAGTACGCACAATGTTCAAAGCCGACGCATGATTAGATTCGATGCCTTACCTGAGCAAGGAAGTCACCAAGGGCCCAACCAACCAAGGATGTGCAGGCCTTGGCGGTCAAGGGGTTCTTGTCAAGCTGATCATTGTAGGCGGCCCATCCTGGAACGGCTCCTCCTCGGACGGCGGTGGGGTCGCGGAAGAGGGGGCTGGTAGCAGCCGAATCCTTGCGGAAGGCGGGTTTCTTGAAGGCGCCAGGGCTCTTAGCAACAGAAGTGCGAGGGCTCACGCCGAAGGCACTTGCAGTAAAGAAAGAAGAGAAAACGAGTAGAGTGGTAAGCTTCATGGTGATATTATTGCTTGCTTCTTGGCTAAGGGCTGCTTGATAACTTCAAGAGATCAATTCCGCAAAGAGTGAAGACTTGCAGTGGATGATCCAAAAGGCGAAAGCCTTGAAAGGGAGGTGTCAATCGACAGAGGCCACAAGATCCTCCTGTGATGCCAACCAAACACGTCACTGGCGTCAGCCAAGCTAAGGTGCTCCAATTTTTAGATACCGCCTCAAGTTACCGATTCAGAGGCGGGAGAACTTTCCTCAGCTAAGTACCATATCCAGGCTTGCTTTGTAGAGAAGGGGGATGCAAAGAGTGCCACTGATCGATGACCGCGTCATCATAGTGACCGCCGGCAGCATTATTTGCTTCTCCAACATTCTACAGGGCTTTGCGCTGGCAGCAGCACAGCAACTTCCTCCACCGGTGATCTCATCCAGCATTCTGGGATTCTTTCTCTGGATCTTTGCAACCTTTCTATTGTAGAGTACTCTTTTAGGACTGACCTGTAACTTTGAATTCTTCAGGCACTTCAGATTCAAAACCAACCGGTGGCACTGTAGTAGACTTTGAATACCAGATCAGCCAACATGTAGCTAAAGTGTACATGTAGCATCTTCTAGTAGCATCACCTTTAAACCTCCTGCGCCGCAGGTTGTGCTTCCGTTCCTCAATGCGTTGAACTTACTTCAGTTACTCTACCTTTGGCACCTGAAACTTCGAAAATCACGAAGTCCTTCAAGGGTCGCAGCTTCTGGAGATGGCTCGCTCAGCCAGCCATTCACCAACTCCAGCAGTGTTGATCCGTAAACATGGCACTAGGAGTTACTGCCTTTCAGCAGCTTGATGGATCTATAAAACAGCCTGTAGTACCTGGCAGTGAGGGTATGTTGGGCACTTCTTAGAGGTGCCGGTACCATGTACCGGATGTTGATTGGCAAATTGTAAACAATAGTAGTAATAGCAAGTTCAATTCATACTGCGCGGTACTAGCTAGTATGGTTTGGAAACTGGTAGTAACTGAGTATTACCTGATACCAGGTACTACTGGTACTGGTACCGGTACCACCCTGTACCGTCCGGCAAAACAGAATATTTTTGCTACCGGTATCTATGTGACCTATTTAGATTATTTTTATTGTTTCCGGGCGACGGGAGAAGATTGGAGCGGTGAGAATGGTGGAATTGGTTGATTGAATCTTCGGGGGAGCCACAAACCAACCCACAAAAGCTCCGCCTTCGGAAAACACTCCTCTAGCTAGTAGTAGACTTACTAGCTAGATAGCAGGCCAACAACACACGCAAGATTCTTTCGTAACGAAGGAAAAACAAGCAATCTCTTCTCTCTGTTCTCAATCTGATTGATGCACTATGACCAGCTAGAGAGCAACGAGAAACAAGCAATCAACCAGATCTTTCCTTTAAAAACCTTCAACCAGATTGATGCCTGGTGCAAAAGTGCAGTGGACGGATGTCATGAAAAGATCGTGAACTACCTTCCCGATTGGACCTGACCTCCTCATCCCTGACGTGAAACAGTCAAGCCTTTGTCCTTCGAAGGGAAAGTGAGTTGGGGCACAGAATGTCGCATCCTAATGCGTAGGCACGGTAATAACCAAAACTACATCTTTTCTTGCTGTGAATGGAGGCCGTGATCAGCGAAAGGTACCGTAGCATTATTCGTCCATAGAGGGGCACAAGCGCATGAATTTCGATGACTTTTCGACCTTCATACATGTATTTGTCGTTATCGTATAGAATGAGTAGTGACTGCGTTGCTAGATCCACTTGTCGGCAGAGCGGCTACCTTGGCTAACTACCGTACGTATTACATATCCCACCCAAATGAAATATCCCTCAATCTTGTTCGCTCGAACATGTGCTTGTTTGGTTGACAGAATTTTGTACCCCCAAGAATTTGATTGCCGATTCACGAGGGAAATCCGGAACAGCGGGAAAAGGGCCTTCGTTGAACGGCCCAGATCAGCACTAACTGGTACTGCAAGCCTCCCAATAACCTGGAGATGCAGAGAATTGTTGCTGGTGGATTCAATTCGTCTTTCCTCGCTTTGATTTCGTTCGTTACCCCAACCGTCCAAAAGGGTCCGGGCTGATCTCGTCTCGTTTCTTCCCGTGCATGCAATATGTACCGTATATCTAGAACTCCACCTGATTGAGATCGCTACCAGTGCAAGTGGATTGCACTGCCGATGTTTCGGGACTTTCGGCATACAAGGACCGCCAATCCTGTGAATGCACTTCATCCAAGATCATACTAAAGCAAATAACCAGTGCATCTCGTTCCAATCTGGAATTTGCTTGCAAATCGAGGGATCCATTTTGAGTCAACAAGGAAAAGCATACGGTATCGAGCATATCCTTGTTTTCCTCTTTCATGAATGCATTCGTTTTTTTGCCGACATCGACGTAAAGAATATTTGGCAAAGCGATTCTGTGTAGCGCTCCTCGCATCATGACGAGTGATACTTCTCCGAGTTGATTGGGTATTTTGCGTGGGAATTCGGTTTGCCAGGAGAGCGATGTTGTATCTTCTTCGAATTTGATCCAGACTCGTTTGGACTCGGATGCGACTCCATGAGCAACCAGTCGAATGCCTCTGGTTTTGAGTCGTTGCATGGTTTCATTGAGGATTTTGGCGGATGGTAAACGGGGAATGGCAGGGTGTCCTAGAGACGATCCAAAGAGGCCCGGAGACGCTCGAAACATGCTGTTGGTTGTGGTACTACCAGTTGTCGTGGAACCGGCTTTTCCTCGTTTTGCGGCAGTGCCTCGTGCCATGGGACGCAAATAAATACTTTCGATACCGGATTCCGAATCCGCAACGGTACTGCCTCTGGAAGATTGCTGTTGTGGTCTCTGTAGTTGTTGTTGCTGTTGCAATTTGGAACTCATGGTGGAAGAAGGCGGTCCCAGTGTGGACATGTCATGAAGTCGTCGTTTCTCTACTTCTTGGAGGATGGATTCGTCGACACTGTCCATCATCAGGGCCGAAAATGTAGTGCTCATGTCTCCGAATTCCGATGCTTGATATCTCCGTCGAGCGTAGCGACGGGGATTGGCTCCAAAAAACTGTTTTCGCATCCCCTTGGGAAGCATCAACGTCAGCACCCACACCACCAGGAAAAGCCCCACTCCAGCCATGTAATTCCAAACGCCCGTTGCCACTGACTCCGCAGAAGAATCGGAGTACGATGGGGCAGACGTGGTATCATACTGATACCGAGAATAGTGAGAGTAGTAAGACTCTCCCAGAGGTAGAGGGCGGAGCAACACGGACGTTGCCATACCGATGGATGGTCGGAACAAATACTACCGTAGTAATACACAGATCACAAGCATGCAAGGAAAGATTGTTGGAGATCCAGTTGTACCAGTACAGTAGAAGCACGAAGCAAGATAGTCCATGGCCAATGACGGGATGACAGGCAACAAATTTGGCGATAAAATGAAACGGCAACTCCGATAACGGTAAAGCGGTTTTAAAAGGCTTAACTTTCAAATGTGTTAATTCTCAGCTAGAAGTACGAATGAGAATGCGAACTCCTGGTCATAAAATGGCAAAATTCTGACCTTTTACCCTTGTTTATAAGCTTCCAAAATGGTCCAATGAATGCCACGAGTTTGTACACCGTAGTGGATTGCTGGATGCAATAATGCAATTATCCTACGTTGTATCCTGAGAGAGTTCCTACCGTAACATGTAGATTTCGCAATGCCATACTTTCTGGTCCGGCAGTTTCGTTTGTGCTTGATTTGTTAGAAGATCTATACTAGTACCGGTAGCAGCCGGTAGCAAATGTTGGCTGCACCCCGATTGCAACTAAACTGATCTACCTCTGTTTTCTATTCTGATTCCATTGAATGATTCGATTCAATCCAATCATTCGCTTCACCTCTACATAGCTACATGTAGTACTGTACGGTCCAAACAATAGGTACATCTACCAACACCATCCCAGAGACTACTGTAGACAAAACCAGGACGTCCAGCAGACAGGAATGGGCACAAGCTGAGGTGGTGATTCCGTACCTCTATCATCGTACCGGACCGTAGCGGTGCAGAATGGCATACCGGTAACCGTAGTGGAATCGAATCCTTCGTGACACAAATTGATTCCTTTGCAGTCTGTTCTGTAGGATACCATATAATACCTGATACCAGATCAAAACCAAAGATGTATCCAACTAGCTAACAGACATGTTGCTGTATGTGCGGTTGTACCGTTAACATGCAGGGGATACCACTACAATACCAACACTGAAAAGCGGCGGGAAATGCATTTGGCATACCGGTAGACCTAGATCTATAGATTCTTGAATCTAAGGTATATTCAAGCACAATAGTGACATGAGCAGTGCCAAGCAGCATTATGGTCCATGACCCTTCGGTCACGCACTCATTTTCTTTGTTTACCAGAGGACCGCAGCGAACAGAAGAAGAAGACGACATGGAGAAAAGCACTCTGTTGCCTCCAACTTCACTCTTGACGAAAGAAACGAGGACGCTGACAACTAACTCTCATCATAGCGACTCTCCTTCCTGTAGTCTTGCAAAAACATCACGGAACACATTCATTCATTCATTTGACTTGCTGATCGAACAGAAGAGAATCGCTTCAGTTGCTGTGCTGCAAATTGTTCTATTCGACGTAGAGTACGATGGCCGTTTCTTCTTCCGCAGCCGACAGTGGTACCGGCAGTGCAGCTCTGGGATTGTTGTACAAAGCCGAGTTCTTTCTGCGACGACAATTGCAAACAGGTGATGGCTTGACACCTGGTCTTGTGGATCCATCCATCTACCAGCAGCAGCCGGTACCAGAAGACACCTCGCAATCTCGAGGTCGGACTGTTTTGACCATTCTGTACCTGTGTGTTTTGGGTTTGTGCTTTGTAGTCCCCGTCTTTTACTACTTTCGCCTGCATTGCTTTGAAGAGCATGCTCGAAGAGAACTGGAGTTGGACTTTACCGCTGCATTGGAACAATCGGAACAGCATCGAGACGAAAATAGACAAGCAAGGAGAAAATACATTGAAGAACGAAGAGCCAGAATCGTACAGTTGATGATGCCCGTCAGAATGGTGAGTTGACTCACTCAAAGGAAGCAGAGATGAGAATTCATACTCTGGGTAAAGGAGTGGACTCTTCTTTGGGAGGGGGGACAAGAATCGAATCCGTTTTCTTTTCTGACCTTTGTGTGCTCGTTGTTGGCCTCCATTTTTATTGATTGATTGAACAGGTTTTGAAAGAAGAAAATTTCCCAGATTTGGTAGATGGCCACGAGAACCACAACCACAATACTAATAGCAACACCATTGGTACTTCCTCCCAAGGACCGGTCCAACGAGCAGGCAGTTTCTTGAATCTGGATTTTGAAAGCGAAAAGTACAATGTCGGCAAGAGCGATGAATCAGCCACCCAGGCTTCCGAAGACATTCTATCGCCCTACGCCAGCGATGACGAGGAAACGAACATCGGTGCACAACACGACAATAACGACAATCACGATAACGACAACGACAATAGCGAAAATGACGACATGGAAGGCAATCGTCAGGACCTAACCACCAAGGACGACTTTAGCAATCAGCAATGTAAAGACCTTGGCGACAACGGCAACGGCAAGACAAAAGACAATGTTTTCGGAGAACGAGGTATCAAGGAGACAAAATCACAAGACGAGGAGGAGCAAGGAGAAAGTCACTCTCTAGATGGCCCTTCCATATCCAGAGAACATAACAATCCATATGAAGAGGAAGAAACCCCGCAGGTTCGGCTTCCGGTTCCAGGGCTTCCAATGGGTAGCAGTTGCTTTCTTGATGCCAGTGGACCCCAGAGACAGACTCAAGATGATGAACGGGAAATGAGGTTGACGCCCGGATCATGCACAATCTGCTTATCCAACTACAAGGTGAGAAGATACGAACCTCCAGCTTTGGGACGCAGCCACAGGCACGGTTGAGTAGAAACGGATGTTGGGAGTTCTTTCATCACTAATGTTCTGTCTTTCCCACGTGGCTCTCTCGTGCTCTGCTCTCTTCCTGTACACAACAGGTTGGATCAGACGTTGTGTGGTCTTCCAATGAATCATGTGATCATCATTTCCATTCAAGTTGCATGGAAAAGTGGCTCATTAAACAACGAGATGGACCCTTGTGTCCAATTTGTAGAAGAGATTTCATTGTAGACCCACTGGATTTGTTGGAACAGCAAGAAAACAACAACAACAACAATCACAGCAATCACAATGTTGATGAGGAACAGGGCATTGAAGCATCCATGTTTCATTGGGATCCAGCGGCACTAGCTTTGGATGATGATGAGCTGGTTCGCCGACTGGGGCCCATTGTTGTCACAGCCCCAGGAGAGCCAGAAATAAGTAGATACAGAACAAGTCACAATGGAGGAGAAGAGCCGGTGGAGATTACAACCCAGTTGGAAGAAGGATTACGCAGTGTTGGTGTTCCCTCAGTTACAGACAGCACAAGAAACAGCAGCAGCAACAACAATTTTGACAGCGAAATTGCTGCGTCAGCGTATGGTGCTCCAGATGAGAGCACAGAAGATGGAATGTCCGTCCAGTTGTAGACTTACCTTTTGAAGTCGCACTGCGGCAAAGGAATTGTTCCAACTCTGGAACGACAACAGAATGTTAACTTGGAGCAAAGGTTTTTGATGATTGACCATCTACCAGCCAGATCTGGAGCAAACGTGATGATCAGTATCATGTTGTATCAGGGATACCATATGAGAGATGGTGGAAGTTTTGGAATAGACGGGTCTGCCCTGTTACTGAGTCAAGAGTCGGCCGAGGAGTTCGCCAGTGTCATTAGCCCAATTGTTGCTGGCGTTGCAACCACCATTGCTGGCACCGTACCGGTACCGGTATGGCCTCTATTAGTGGCAGTGACCAAGAAAAATGGATCCAGTGAGTCTTCGAGTTGGACGGCGAAGATTCCCGTTGAGACACTTTGTACAATAGTAGAATTCGCACTACCGCTAGCTAGTGGTCGAAACTTGCACATTCCACTGCTACCATCTACTGTATGCTACTGTTCTATAGCTGCATGTAGCTAGAAACACCGTCAGAGCTTTGAATGATGAATCAGCAGCAGGATTAATAGACACCGCTACAGGCGCGCGGTTTCCCAAGGACGAGTCTAGTCTTCAAATAGGTTTGGTGCCACAATACTTTCACTTTTAACTTTAGCTTTTACCCCGATGACAGGTACACGTCTAAAAGGTTGGTTATGAGATGGCTGAAGCCATATGCACACTCTTCTTTCTTCACAAATGCCCAGATGCAGCTCGTTGCCTTCTTGGCGGGGTCAAGCCCGACTCCGCCAACTTGCGAATGCTCTTGAATCTTTGCGGCATCTTGGGGCGACTCCCTCCAGCATCAGGGTCGCTGATGTACTGAAAGTGGTTGTTCAAGCCATCATGAACCCCAGGACAACTATGACGATGAGGGCGCCGGCCAAGCTGTTCGGACGAATGCTTTCGCTCTGGCATCGTCATTGGAAGGAAGTCTGTCCACGAGTCATCGTCGTCGTCGTCGAGGAGATCATGCTTGCTGAGCTTTCTTCGAGGAAGTCGTGGGCTTGTTTCTTTCTTGGACTCTTCTTCGTACTCTGCAAAGTCGCACTCCATACTAGCCTGTCGACGTGGGATCCGTGGTAGGCTTGCTGAACACTTCTCTTCGTCCTTGGGAAGGGTGGGACTCCAAATGTCGAAATCGTCATCGACATGCCGTGGCGTAAGAGTCGTGGTGGACAGGCTTTCGATACTTGGACCCATGGGGATCATGAGGACACGGGGAATAGTCGATGGATCTATTTGATTGGACACCCTTCCTCCATTGTCAAAAGACTCACAACAGGTACGGTTGAATGAGATTGGCGACACGTTTGGAGACAGAGGTGAGATACTTGTCTTGGTGCTGCATCGTCTTAGGGACCTTGCAAACATTCCATTGCACATGACGCTGATGTATTCGACTGAAAGGGACTCTCCAAGCTGGCAAGTAGTAGGCTGAATGGTCAACCCAATCGGTCTATCTGGCCAGTTTTGCTTTTCGCTTGGTGCGTAAACTGTGAGAGGGAGCAGAAATGCTACCTACTTATTCCGATTTCCGTAAACGTGCTAGAGCAACGGAGCAAAAGAATTCCAGGGGTTGACAGTGGTCCCAAAAAATATCACAAACGTCAACAAATGCCGATGCATGTAAACACTACAGCCAAGTCTTGTAATTGCATGTCCTACGAGGAAATTTCAGTACATCTGCTACCATCCAAAACACTTCGAATACTGGACATGGAACAGCTTGTGGTTCTCATCAGAGGCAGTGTTGATGAGATGCCTGCCTCTTGAAAATACCAACGACAAATCGGCGGAGAAAATCAAGGGAAAAATGTGAGGCAAGAGGCAATCAAAGAGCCTTTTCTTACCGGCACTGGAAGCATAAACAAGTAATTTCAATCAGGTCTTGCCGGCTTCCACTGGGCTCTCATCGTATCGTACTATTTCCGTATCGTATGTTGTGGTTTCGAGTCGGCAATCACTCGTCCTTCGCATTGCGCCCAATGAAGGCTTGAAGTGGCTGGAGTTGGTGTTCCTATCGCCGTTCCGAAGAAGTCACTATTAGTCCTCCTTCATGCTTCCAGCTGCGTCCAAAACAAGGGCAATGGGTGGCCTGCAGCACACTTCAGGCCGGGTGGAGGCAGCTAGAATCGAATCTGTTTTCGTACTTACCGAGCGAAAAAGACGGTGGACATGGAGTCGATGACGGAGGACATCCAACACGAATTGTGAACATTGAACTCGAATCCACCAATACTGAAGCATAGAAATGTTGGGAGTGAACGTTGAGGCAATGGATGGAAAAAGATTCTGGGCTGGTCAAACTCGAAGACGCAAGGAAACCAGGATCGACGAAAGAAACTGCTCAAATAAAGAGCAGGGAACCTGCGGAAGCTGAGAACGGGTCACCGAGATGCTTCAAACGGTGGGGAGAATTATTTTTTTACCTGCTCTGCACGGGACCTCAAACCTCAAACACTCACACGTGGAAATAGCTCTGACAAGCCTGGCCAGCTAGCTCAACGACATGCCATACAACTACATTTGGCGAATTTGCGGGAGTTGTAGAATGCATCTCGAGGCGCTGACGAGCTGACGAGAAAAGGAACAAGCATTCCGTCGGTGGTCTGGCCATTGGTCCGTCGGTGGTCTGGCTATTGGTAGGGAGGCCGGATAGGTACATTCTTGGACTAGCACTTACGCCACTTGGAATGCTCGTGAATCTAGACTCCTAGCTAGCTACTACTAGGAGTCTCATGCCCAGTCTCGACTCCTCGTTTCTTCATCACAATGAAATGCATTGCCCATCGTTCGCGTGCGGCAACCAATTTGCAACACACTACTCACACGCGTAACAGCTCGCCCTCGCCGCTCGCTAACATACAATTATAGACCGAGAAGGATGGAGTGTGGAGCGCTTGCTAGCTATTGCAGCAGTACAGCTTGGTTAGGTCCCCATTTGTGCAATACTGCCTTGTCAGAGAACCACATTGCGGCCGTTTTTGCGACCAGAGGTATGTGAGCTCAGCCCCGGGTCAGCCAATCCCGCCCCATCTGTACACCCCCAGCTTTTTTTAAAAGGCAGCTCACTTCTAGAGTTTGATGAGTTCTTCACCTCTCTCACAAGTCGCCAGTCAATTCAGGAGCGATGGGCATGTTGCTGAGGGCAACATGCCTGTGCCCATCGCTGCTTGCCTCGAGGCAGAGGTGCGCCGCACCGATTGCCAAAGGGGCACGTACCTACCTGGTACCAGGTACCGGTACGTACCTGTACCGGTAGCTTTACGTACCGGTACCGGTGGGTAAATTTCATTTTGTTTTTTACAGCTCATGCGGGCTTCCAGTGCTTGAACAGTGACGTGGGTAAAAAAAAATGCGTCCAACGATCGAGGGGCGTGCCTGCCACGGGACGTCGGTTTCAAGTTGGAACTGTTGATGTTTGGTTTCTCGTTGAACAACGATAGATGGGTCTTCGACAGAGGAAGCAACAACTGCAAGAGCAGCCGCTCAGCACACAGTGCCACGAGCAGCAGCAACAGCAGCCTGACTGCAGTAGTCATCAAGAAGAAAAATTCTTCGATGAGAATGCCTCACAAAAGATGACGACAATGAATCGGCTGGTTGCGTTGGTTTCCTTCCTCTGTGCAACATGGGTGCTCTGCTACATGCTGTTTTCCGGTATCGACCCGGGCAGATCAATGTATGCACGGATGGCCGATCGGGTAGTGGGAGATCCCAAGGGAGGAGGCCAGATATTGCACCTTGCATTTCCCGTCTTGATTGCCGGGAGTTTGGCGTCTCTCTGCTGGACGTTGCCATCTCTGTCGGTGTCTCGTCGCAGTGCATTATCATCACTTGTAAGACAACAACTTCCCAACTGGATCTATCGATGCCGGCATCGACTCCTGTTTGTTGAAGGAGAGTGGAAGCTCGATTTTTTGGCATGGACTCTTATCCTCGTCCCCAGCGTCGTTTTTGTCTTCATGGTGGTATACCGACATATGCATGGGAAGGAGTTGGCTCTGGATGATCAAGTCTCGGTCACATCCAACGCGTTTGGAGTCGTCGCAGAAGTGGTCGGATCCTTCCTCATGATCCCCGTGGCTCGACATTCCTCCCTCTTAAAAGTCGTCGGATGGAGTCCAGCAAGGGCTGTTATACTGCATATTTGGACGGGACGAATATTCATCCTGGCCGTCATTGTCCATGGTTCCATGCACATGTTCCGATGGGTTGGACTGTCCAACGAGAGTCTCGTGGGAATGCTCGTGCCACCGTCGGGTTGTTGGTCCATGAACTCGGAGACTTACAATGCAGCACAACCTACCTGTGTCGATGAGGACACTGACTGCACTTGCTACGATATCCATCGAAACTTGACTGGTTTTCTGGCTGGCGTGGCACTCCTTGTCATATTGATTACAAGTTGGTATCCAATTCGCCGTCAGTGCTACCGACTCTTTTACATGTCTCATGTCATTGCGGCACCACTGGCAATCATACTCGTTGTGTTGCATTGGAACAGGTCCATTCTTTTCATGGCTCCTAGTCTCATCTACTATACTGCGAGCTCCTTCCCCGTCTTCGTGGAGAGCTGGGGGCGGCAATCGACTTCCAAAGGTGTGGAAGTGGTCTCAATTGATAGGATTGCTTCCTTTGCGGACTGGAAAGGGAAGCAGGGCGCCAATTCCAGAGGCACCAATTCCACGCACTACATTAGCTTAACGGTCAGAGCCACCGAAGCTGCTGTTCGGCAGTTCCGACCTGGTTACTACATCCAGCTTCTGGCACCGGATGTTTCCGCCATCTCGCATCCTTTCACCATCAATCTGGTGCCCGCTAGGCATGATCAGTTACGCATCATTTTCAAGGCCACAGGAAACTTTACCTTACAGCTCTCGCAAAGTTTGCAACCACAACCACAACAACCTCCTTCCTCCAGTCTTCCTCCCATCTTCTTGGATGGTTTCTTGGGATCACCCAGTCGCGTTCGAGAAGTCCTTCAGCACGACGTGGCAACCATGGTTGCCGGGGGCATCGGAATTACTCCGTATCTGACATTGCTTCATCATGTTCATGACCTGTTGGCCCAAGCACCGCTAAACACCTTTGCCACCAAGCGAATTGTACTGTTGTGGATCTGCCGAGATGCCAGCTTGGTCGAATATGTCCAGAGAGAATACCTCCAACCTTTGCTGACTAGCCACAGTCACAACGACAATGCGGATTTCAAGATCAAGATTGTTGTGTATCACACAGGGGATCATTCGATGACAGCAATGCCATGCTCGAATGATGAGGAGAATGCTCTGCCGGCAAGTCCCGTTACCGGTACGGAGGCAGCGAGTCTCATTCAGGGCAGGCCGTTTTCGCCGTCACGGTTTTCCACGGGATCTAGTTCGAGTATGAAAACAAACGTACTTGGCTTTCTGGCATTTTCTTTCACTGCCTGGCTGGGACTGGCATCTGTATGGTGGGCGTACAAACATCTGCAAGCAAAGAAAGAAACTGTTTATCGAGTAGCGGGGCCTGTGTTTATTGTTGTTGTGGGTCTTGTGGTGGCCGTGGCCATCAATATGCTGAGCAGACTCTCCTGTTTTCAGCAAGATGGGGAGGACTCTAGCACTTCCTCCCCTATGTGGTCGCCTGTCCCATCTCTCGATGAAGAGGCAGCGCTCCCTGATGGCCTTGTCCAATCATCCATTGAAATGGAAACGGTAGGAGCTGTGCCTGATGTTAACGAAGGCGACGTGTCCGATGACGACAATGATGGAGCAATCTCTGGAAGTGTGGTGTCAATGGAGGAGAGAAGGGGCAGGCCCTCTGTTCATCAACTCCTCAAACATGCAGACAATGGAAGACATCCTGGGTTGTTTACTTGCGGGCCGCTTCCTCTTATGAAGGATATTCGTGAGCATACCGAGGAACGCTGCATCATGCGTCTTCAACAGTGCATGCGAGGGGCATCGCATAACATTGCTTTGTATGAAGAGGCATTTGCCATGTAGTCTCGGCTGCCTCTGTGTGCTTTTTAGATTATTAGAATGTAAAATTTAGATACCATT